TGAAAAACAATAAGAACCGAATAGTAAGCTGAGGCAACAGCACAGTTAACTAATAACTTTGATAAAACTTGATTGAGAAAATAATCTACCTAAAATTAATCTTAAGACGGACTCTTTGGATCGAAAATCGTACTTTTGTTGTGCAAGAACACAGCGAGAGTTTGATGAGTGCAAATCACGTAAGGACTTAAACTCCCGTCCTTAAGGCGCTCTTACTGTAACTACTAAAATATTTATCTAGATATTCGTCCTAACTAATAAACCATCGTCTTACTTTGATGACTTTCAAGCTTGATATTTATTACGTTCGGTCGAGAACCATATGTTTTATTCCGTGATTCGAACTGCGAACAGTGAAGAATATTGTCTAGCAGACAGTCTTCTGATAGCTGAGTGTAGTCTGAATTGGCTATACACCTCAGACATTATAGAGAATGAACCCCACATACATTCGGTAGGATGGTGACATCTTCACCATCATAATAACAGGATAAAGTATAGATGGGATATGGATGCCCTTAGCAATTATGGAAAATAAGGCTAAACACTTACTAAATGAGTGATTTACATAAATCATTTGCTATCAACAAATAGTTATATATTGTTATATTAGCAAAAAGAACTTCTACATTCTATGTACTGATTATATAAGACCTAATTAACTTAAGTATCATTATATAAGTTAAGTATTTCCAGATTTTCCTACTGAGTTTCTCCTCATGCTAGATTCGTTCTGTTTTCATACTGCATGGACTTCGGACCATTGGTCATACAACGTCATATTTTGGCTACCAACTAAATACCTGTCAACCTTTCTAAGTGATTATTATAACCTAAATCCTCGTGCGCGGCTCTATCTATTATAAAATATCTTTTTAAACTCTAGGAATAATGTGATAAACTATGACAGCAATCTCAAAATGTTCTTCCCTCTTGACATCAAAATATCCATTCATCTTCTTTTTAATAACTGGAGTTTTATTCTTAACTGAGAATCCTATGTCCTACCCAAAACCGTTATCCACTTAAGCTGCCCGGGAGTATCTGTGGTTTAGGTTTGAGGTATTCGAAATCCCCGTCTGTAATGAACATTCAATATTTCTAACGTCCAATTTTTGAAACTCTGTCGGTTTGGTTAACTAAAGATACTACTTAAATCAAAAGCTATCCTCTATAACATGTGTGCCAGACCGTTACTGGTGTACTGAGCATGTAGTCTACATTAAATAACTACATTTTGAAACATCCATTCAGTGTTTCATACACAAGTACCATTGCGGTAATAATTATGGATTAATGATGTACGTGAATCCCTGGACAATGTTGTGGAAACGGAACCACAGCAAAAACATGCGTGAATCAAACTCAAAAACTGACATTCATCCAAACGTTCTGAGTAATTGAATAATTATAAATGTCGGACAAAATAAATCTCTAGAGTTATTGTTCGTCATCGAGAATATTTCTTGAAACCAACTTCGTTTCTATTAACTTTTCGTTAACTCCGTTTGTGATCGCATTACAATATTTCAATGGAAAATGTTGGCCTATGATAGTATAAACACTGATTACTTAAGATAACAAAAAGTATTGAAATTAACTTCCTCCCTAAAAATTTCCGGAATACTGCGACTTACGGTAAGTAGAAACGAGTGAGGACCACCTCTACCTGTTCTAGGATTACTGCCTCTCCCAAGCCATTACATATTTTTCTTGGTATAATGTACGTGCAAGTAGTTTAGACACTCGATTGCATTAGCCGTTGTGAATCCGAAAGTTTGTGTCGAAATGTCAAGATTATAAGTCAGTGCTTTTTCTAAATTCTGTCTGTAACTCTTCTATGGCTACTGCCGGTCCCAAACCCCGGTAAAGGAGAAGGATTGCAACCAAAACCCATAGAAAACAACCCTGATGAAAAAACTTACGAGGAAAAGGTCACTAGATGGGTGCTCCTCCTAACAACCACAGCAACAATCAACATAGGTACATCGAGTGTTCGGACAATGTAGGAGACCGGGAACACCAACCAAATAGCTACGGAAATGAGGAGACACAAATTGGTAATTCTCGGAATCAGTGAAACCCACTGAACTCAAGCTGGACGGAAAAGGTTAGGTTCGGGAGAGGTGGATCCGTACACTATGCATGAAGAAGCAGATGCTCCACACATGCTCAGTGAGTTTTTTTGATGCTGTCCAAACAAGCATGAAAAGCACTTATTTGACGGAAATGTGATGGATCTAGAATCATCAAAGCATCCTTCAAAACAAAGAAGGAAGAAATCTCAATGGATGCCATCCAATGTTATGCACCGACCAATAATAGCAGTGACGATTATAAAGATCAGTTTTACGAAAGGCTGTAATCGATTATAGCCAAGTGTCCTGGAAAGGGTCTGAGTATCTTGATGGGAGACTTAGACGCCAATATCGGAATGCCCAACACCGAGCGGCACAATATTCCCAAAGCTACATTCGTCTCACCGGATCACGCTACACAGAACCAGATAGACCATATTTACATCAGTGAGGGATTCACAAGGTCAGTGGAAGGCGTGAGAACCAGGAGGGGAGCTGTCATAGCTTCAGATCACCACCTGGTTGTTGCCGAAATGGAACTGGAGCTAAAAGAGCAGTGGAAAACTTGACAAACAGCATTACAAACTTTCAATACAGCCTTCCTTCGACATACTGACAAACTCAACGAATTCAAGATCACTCTCAACACCAGGTTCCGAGCATTACAAGATTTACTGGAAGAAGAAGAAACTATTATGGAGGACAACTGGTAAGGGATCAAAGAAGCACTAACTCTAACATGTCAGGAGGTTCTGGGCCTCAAGAAGCATCATTATAAGGAATGGATCTTCATCGAAACCCTAGACAAGATTCATGAAAGGAAGAACAAGAAGACAGCAATTAACAACAGCCGAAAAAAACAGAGGATGTCAATGCACAAGCTGAATACACAGAAGCGAACAAGCAAGTGAAGCCAAGCATTGGAGCTGAGAAGCGGAAATATGTGGAAGACCTAGCAACGACAGTGTAAAGAGCTGCAAGAGAAGGAAATATGTTTACGCTGTGCTACGCATCCTTCGCTACTGTTGGTCGACTCGGACTAAACGCTTCCTGATATAACTGTAGTCTCGTAAATAAATCTTCGAACCACTCCATTTCTGACTTCTGTTATGACTGGGTTGGTATACTTCTATTATAGTGGTGTTATTTGTAGAGTCGTTGTCAAACTCCGAATAATTATGGCATCTTTTCGTGAATGCGAATTAAAGCGTAAAAGGCAGGTAAGCCAAATCCATTTGATCACGCATGATCCCAAATTTATTATCGAACTAAAAAGAGTTACGAAAATGTAATGAACGGGGTAAGGTAATAAAACACACGCTTATGTAAAAACGGTCAAGGTTAATAAGCGAATAATCAGAACATGACTTAAAAAGAATGGGCAAACCCGTCTGTTCAGCAGCTAAAATGACTCATGTGAGCTTGACATAGTACTGAAAAATGTAGATGTATGAAAAAAATTTATACACACTGACAACCAATCATACATATCAGGGGCGATAAGCGTTTGAAAGAGTAGCCGTTGAAAGCCACAGCAGATGAGATATGAACAACGAAGCTAGTTAGGCCGAAAATATACGAACATAGTGTGAACGTTGGACTATGAAAACCTAGTCTGTGCCTGACCAATAATTATCACTCAGTTTATTCTTGTAAAATTTATTGACTCATTGTTACAAGTGTAATACATATTGCATGAAGAAATTATTGTCTACACTATCTTGCACATTTGGGTTACAATACGTTCCACATAAGTTTTTAAAAAATTGAGATGGTGTAGATTTGCGAGTTAATTCCAGATGGTATTATTAATGCATTATAGCTTACATTAATCATTAGGCTTTTTTAACTAGGTTTGAAAAAGCCGTTTATTTACAGCTACATATTCAGCGAATAAAGAGTTGCTTGAAAAACTTTTACCAATCTACGCTCCTGTTTAATTAATGTCAATGGGTACTGATTAAAAAGTCACGTCATAGGGTAAATTAGAGACAAAACCTGTATTTGATTCTGAAGGCTACTAAACTGTCTAAGAAAATGAAAAACGTACCGAGTGAATGCACTCAGACTATATTCTTGAAGATGTCACAGGTATTCGGAGTTTGACAACACTTTAACGAGCAACACCTATTATGAATCTTATCCACCAAGTGAAATCAAAAGACAGAAGCGAGGAAGTTCGAAGATATATTTGATAGGTTGTCAATATATCGTAGATCGATTAATCTAATCTGGCTAGCGATTACAGGGGATGTTGAGCACAGCGTTTCCACTCGTGATCGGATATGGATGCATAACCGAGCGCCTTTAGCTAAAAAAGTTCATTAAAACTAATGTGGTCAGCAGCCAATGCCAAAGACTTGCAGAGCAACTGATTTTGGGAATTTATTTACCGCTACATTCTATCAACCCCCTACATTAGAGTTTGAAGCTAGTCACTAATGAGAACATAACTGTTATTAGTAACTCCTAAACCTATAGTGGCAAGTGAGTTGCCAGTGGATTTCGACTGGCCTCCAGTATTAGACAGTTATTCCCTTCAGGCAATGAATACGGTTTGTACAATGTCGTGAATCAATTGAAGTTAAACATTAACACCGCTGGATGCCGGCACATTGGTCTGCAGGCTAGGAGTTTGCCCACGAAATCGAACGTCCTGGACTTGATTTGCGCGCGGAGTCGTACATATGCAGTGGTGAGAAGCCCCATATTAGAGTGAAACGACCATCCAGTGTCTCAAGATTTTCAATGATGGTTTAGTTAACATCAGTTCGTTGGTTAGGCCTTAAAAATAAACGACTGTTTGAAAATGCATATTATTTTTTCTAAAGATACAGTAACATAGAGTTCGTCGACATGTTCTCGATATTCAGCGTCTCATGATGTCCATTGTTGTTGTGTCTTGTTTATATCAGGCAATCAGTTGAACTGGTCACTTGGCCCGTTCATTTGAATTCGATTTTCATTTGGGCCGTGGTTTTCGTCGCACTAATGTCTAGTGGTCAAAAGTTGCTAAGGGAATTCAGTGGAATCGATAAAATCTATGTCGTTAAGCGAGGTAGTATCTTCAAAAGTATATTCTATTTTCATAGATGGCAGGAACGAAGCAATTCACTGCGAAAAAATTACAAAACGTATACGTGCTATGTGCTATGGGTTGAACGAGTCATACATTGACGTGGTAAGTGCATCAATGTTATATGACACAATTCTCCACATTTAACTGAATGGTTCTGATCGCCCTGAAGATGTGTCAAGTAATATCTGCATAGGGGTTATGGAAAGTTGTGTATGTTACTATGCTCACAAGACAATTAGCTTTTCGTGACTAACAAATTTTTCGGCGTTTCCTGGGTTTCTTTTTCTGCTACTACTTAGCCGATGGAACTGACAATCTTATCCTAAGGATGGAGAAGAGATTTTGGAGTGGAAATGGAGCCTTATGTAAGGAATTATTTGGGTACTGCAGATAGTTGTAAAGCGTACGATAATCCTCGCGGTTTTTGAAACGAAGAAGACTAAGTCTCTTTTTCTAAGTGCTAAGGGGGATTTCGCTTATTTTCTGTTTCGAAGTCGAGTGTGTGGGATAAGCGTCCGTTAGTAAACGATCTTATTATCCCTCATTCAACTCATATATGATCTCAAGATTTGTGTCAAGAAGCCATAAAACTTCAGACAGGAAAGAGGGTAGTCTTCTTTTTGTCTGGTCGCCACTTGAAGACGTTACAAGAAAGTTAAGCTGCAGATTCCCAAAAGCAGTTTCTTCGCTTTCAAATGGATATTGGGTGGATATAAACTGTTCTGAGAGTTATGTGCTCTTACTCATCAAATTTGCTCTAAGGTTACAAAGATGATCCATCAGGACTATTGGGAGAAAAGGATTTTTAGACTTAATTTAGTAAAACTGCCATATCTATCTTCAGTATTTCTCCTGGGTTCGTTATTTCGGTACATCATCTGTTTGCATTCTTGTCTGCTGAAGCGTGGCCCTATGGTCAAGATCTCAAGGTCACCAAGTGAGCATACGAAAAAGCCATCTACTAACATAAGTAGTTCATCTAATACTAAGTAAATGCGATCATCACGGTTTTACTTTGCTTGTTATTTCAAACATAGGCTCGGGTTGTCTGTCTGATCAATTTGATTGAGGATAATTTTCCAACCTGCACAAGCTTAAGTGACTCTGCAATATGTACTACGTAATATAGGCATTTTTAATTCCTTGAGCAACTTTCAATGAGTGAACTCTTTTCGGCTTAATTGCTTTTCATTAAGGGTAAACTTATTGTCTCTAAGCATTACTAGTCTTTTCTCATCATATCCGTGTCCAAAACCTCATTGGTATGACTTACCGGAACATTATCTCCCATTCAGGCTGTACCAGTGTTATGGTTAACTACTCGTGGTAAATTTGCTATATGTAATAATATAGCCTTGATCCCGTTTATCTTTCATAGCATTGTCAGTAGAAAGCGTCATTTCATTTATTTGTGCGAGGGTGTCCAGACCGAAGCAGGTTGTTTTCTTAGGGGATCACACCCCGAGCCTTTGACCTAAAGGTCTCGCCCATAAGGCAGTGGGGCATCGTGAGGAGATGCAGTACCATGGTAGCCGGTGACCAACGATTGGTTCATACGCCATTTGTTCCCTCAGGGTACTGGAGCCAATGTGCACCATCGATTTGGAATCAGGGTTTTCCAACTTCCCTAGGTAAACTTTCCGTGTCCACCAACCCGGTTAAAGCGTCGGACATTCGCTTTTCGTCCTCTCAATTTCGTAAAGAACAGTAATGCCACGAGAACGCAGTGAGTAGGACTTTCCTGGTAGAGGCTATATACTCGTAGCCATGTGAGAGCTTTTTGAGAGGGAGGTTAACCCTTCCCCACCGTCAGCTATACCAGGGCATTTGGGGGCATGGTGTCGTGGTATGAAAGAAAGCTGCAAAAAACTGGCTTCTGTTGGTCCTTCATGATTCCCTGGCTGGGGTCCAAGAGATGGTACATCACAGTGGCTAGAGACGTTATCAGATATGGCTCAGAATAGAAGCCAGTGGCGATCGTGCTGTAACCTTCTTTTGATTTTTTCATAGAGTAGTCACAACTTCCTTAACTGAAAGAGTTCTGGTTTTACATTTCAGCCCCCCCTATCATTACTCTTATTTTATTAATATATGCATCTTCCCCCTTTTCTCTTTCCATTCTCATTGTTTTGTGTGGCACATATATATCTGGTGTCCCCTTGTACCAATATTTATGTGTTTAAATAGAAATTATCTTTTATACCAACAGGAAGCGGTAACCAAGCGTGTAGTGTCTGGCTTATACCCTGGAGTGACTACTGTAGAATTGGATAATCTGGCAGCCGAGACATGCGCAAGCATGATTACAAAACATCATGAATATGCCATTTTGGCTGCTCGTCTTACCGTTTCAAATCTACACAAGGAAACGAAATCTAGGTTTTCAGATGTTGTTGAAGATTTATATTGCTACATTAATCCTCGAACCAAGAAACATTCTCCTTTAGTATCAAAAAGTCTTCGCGATTTCGTTAGAGAAAATGCTGAGCGACTGAATGATGCAATTGACTACCAGCGAGATTACACGTACAATTATTTTGGGTTTAAGGTAAGTTATTGACTTTAGTTCTTCCCAAATGCCTCAGACTACTGGACATTTAGCTATTAGCGTACGCATTTTTGCAACTTCGAGTGACTTTCATGTTTCGAATATTGATTATACTGATAATGATAGAAAATAATTCACGTGTTCCAAACAAAATGTGTCTAAAAGAATACTGAGGTAATTATAAACTGAGTGTCCAGCCTCAACACATCTTGAGTGTGTTAAGTAAGATGCTTAGTAGTCTCTTGCGAGCAAATTGACCTAACATGGGTTTATTTTAAAATGTAAATGGTGGCTTAACGTACCAGACGACGTGTTATTTATTATCAGTCGCCGTTGATTATTAGCTCATCGCAAAGTGCATTATAATCCACATGCGTTGGATACTCCTATCAAAAGGTTAAGTCATAGTTTATGGGTAGTATTTTTTTTCATGGATCTTCATAGACGATCATTGGGATTAACTACTATCATGGGTCTCCGACTTCAGTCTGCTCTATAATTTTAGATCATTGGTACTTATACAAACATCTACAGCTATAAACTAGTTGAGATTATATTGCATTTAGCTTTAAATCTGAACAGCTTTTAAAAGTATTTGGTAAGCGTATATGTAAATTGACATTTTGGAGACAAGAATGGGAGGGTCTCTTCGATCAATACGCTTAGAATTGCAACCCGCCTAATCTAGCAACTCATCTAAGAAATCCGTTCTAAAGCATTTCCACCCATTCAGGTTGTACATTCATGAAGCACGTAGATTTTCTCGTCATACCTAGTAATATAGTTTTCCAAATCCTAACATGATGTTTGTTTAGACTTTACAAATTCTTGTATACTAATAGTTTTACAGTCCATCAACTTATGTCAGCTACTTTATTTTCAAGAAATAATTATCTTTTTTCAGACTCTAGAGAGGTCTTACCTTTTAAAAATAAATGGGAAGGTTCATGAGCGCCCACAGCATATGTTAATGCGGGTATCAATTGGGATACATACGTCTGACATCGACAGTGCCATCGAGGTAAGTAAATGTATAATAATCTGTCCAACTTTCTAGACGTATAACTTAATGTCTGAAAAGTGGTTTACACATGCTTCACCGACACTTTTTAACGCTGGGACTCCTAAACCACAGCTTTCGAGTTGTTTTCTCATCACTATGAAAGACGATAGTATAGAAGGCATTTACGATACGCTGAAAGAATGTGCAGTTATATCTAAAAATGCCGGGGGTATTGGACTAAATGTTCATAACATTCGCAGTCGTGGGACCTACATAGCTGGAACAAATGGAGATTCAAATGGTATTGGTAAGTTTCTTTCATTTACAGTCTCAAGTTCAAAATTTCTCTTCATTTAGTACAAATACTTTTAAAATATACTTATTTGTATCTTCCATTCTGTTTAGTCCCGATGTTGCGCGTATTCAATAGCACTGCGCGATATGTCGACCAAGGAGGTAACAAGCGTCCAGGAGCCTTTGCCATGTACTTAGAACCTTGGCACCCTGATGTGTTTCAGTTCATAGAAATGCGGAAAAATACTGGCGCCGAAGAAATTCGTGCACGGGACTTGTTCTTTGCCCTCTGGATACCTGACTTGTTCATGCGCCGCGTTGAATCCAACGATAAGTGGACACTCATGGATCCTCATGAGTGTCCAGGCTTGCCTGAAGTATGGGGTGAAGATTTCGACACTTTGTATGAAAAATATGAGCGTGAAGGTCGTGGCAAACAAACAGTTAAAGCCCAAGAGCTATGGTAAGCAAATGAATTAGTATTGTAGTCATAATGTATACAGGATATTGTTTTTATGATAAAGCGTACGTAATGATTTTGCACTAATTTATCAAACTGAACAAAAACCGAACGGATGTAAGTTTTAGAAACTAAATATATGGTTATGCATTTGGTTTAGGCAACAATCGCTCTCTTGCATGTTTATCAAACGAGATTTAACGTATTCGCCCTAACGCGTAGTTGTAGGACAAATTTTGCGAACTCCAATATATTTAAGGTACTCAGCAGCATTGATTTATCTGTGCTCATATAAATTTAGCGTGTGTATTTTTATTAGCATGGTTATCATGCATTAACTATCATTTCATTTCGGCTGCACTTACAAATGCTTACTATTCTTGCTCACATAATATATAAGTATATAAACTTGATATTCTTAACAGGTACGCTATTATTGAATGTCAGATTGAAACAGGCAATCCATTCATGTTGTACAAGGATTCTTGCAATCGTAAATCAAATCACCAGCATCTAGGCACAATTCGTTGCAGCAATCTATGCACGGAAATAGTTGAGTATTCTTCACCAGACGAAACAGCTGTCTGTAATTTGGCTTCTATTTCACTGGGAAAATTTGTTAATCGAGATAATCTTACGTTCGATTTTGCTAAGCTACAAGAAGTTACAAAAGTCGTAACCAAAAATTTAAACAAGGTCATTGATGTTACCTTTTATCCAGTTGAAGAGGTAAGATTGATCGTAAAAGCATGTAAATGTTTAACACCTAAAAGTACTATAGGCTTTCGCATTTTGTTACTAAATTCTAAATTTTGTTTATAGGCTCGCAGATCAAACATGCGTCATCGGCCGATTGGTATTGGGGTTCAAGGTCTGGCAGATGCATTTTGTCTTTTGAGGTATCCCTTTGATAGTCCAGAAGCGGCTGACCTTAATAAACGTATATTTGAAACAATGTACTTTGCATCTCTGGATGCGTCATGCCAGCTAGCAGTTGACCAAGGGACATATGAATCATATCAAGGTTCTCCTGTCAGTAAGGGTATACTTCAACCTGATATGTGGGGTGTAGATACGGAGGAGCTTTCCAAGGTGTCTGGTTTAGATTGGAGTGGATTACGTGCTCGAATAAATAAGTAGGTACTACAAATTCTTACATTACTTTCCAAATTTCATTGCATATATAAATGAAGAGGTGGATAATATTGGTAAATTCTTGTCATTATTTGTCCTCGGATTACTCTAGGTTCTGTAAACTTTTTTCTATCTTACAAATACTTAATATCAGTTATTGAATTAGGTACCAAAACAAACCACTAGTTTGTTCTTAATAAGTGTTACTATCTCAGTGGTTATGCTACTCAACTTTCGATCACTAGATCTTAGGGTTCATACTCTATTTCATCTGCTTTAATTCGAACAGCTAGATGAAATCACTAAATTATCACATCTGAAGTGTTATTCAAAGTTAACTACATAAAATCATTCTTGGTGAAGGCTACATAATTATTACGATTTAGTAGATTCTAATAAATAAGAATTACTCCCTAAATTAAAGTAGGGGGCGGGCTTTGTGAACACTTTTTATGCTTATTTACCAGTGATTACACTCAGTATTCTGTATTGTACTTAGATTATGTAGATTCTCTGGATACTTTAGATGACGAAGACCTCACTTTTACAGTGGTTACAACTCCCGGTTCACCAAATAAATACAATTAGTAAGACTATTATATTCAGTCTAATTTAAAATGGTCAGTTTGACCAATGTGAGGTTTGTTTTGAACTTGTCAAACACCTGATTGATAAGCAAATTTGAACATTTGATTTCATTTCGTTTTATGTATAGAAATTTCATTGGGTTTGTAGCTCGGATTGCCATGGGAATAAAGTGAAAGCTCTGTTAAACGTAACAATTAACATGTTTCATCTATTGGTTGTAAAGTAAGCAAAATGCAACAAAAGTGTGTGGTTATGCTACTCAACTTTCGATCACTAGATCTTAGGGTTCATACTCTATTTCATCTGCTTTAATTCGAACAGCTAGATGAAATCACTAAATTATCACATCTGAAGTGTTATTCAAAGTTAACTACATAAAATCATTCTTGGTGAAGGCTACATAATTATTACGATTTAGTAGATTCTAATAAATAAGAATTACTCCCTAAATTAAAGTAGGGGGCGGGCTTTGTGAACACTTTTTATGCTTATTTACCAGTGATTACACTCAGTATTCTGTATTGTACTTAGATTATGTAGATTCTCTGGATACTTTAGATGACGAAGACCTCACTTTTACAGTGGTTACAACTCCCGGTTCACCAAATAAATACAATTAGTAAGACTATTATATTCAGTCTAATTTAAAATGGTCAGTTTGACCAATGTGAGGTTTGTTTTGAACTTGTCAAACACCTGATTGATAAGCAAATTTGAACATTTGATTTCATTTCGTTTTATGTATAGAAATTTCATTGGGTTTGTAGCTCGGATTGCCATGGGAATAAAGTGAAAGCTCTGTTAAACGTAACAATTAACATGTTTCATCTATTGGTTGTAAAGTAAGCAAAATGCAACAAAAGTGTGTGGTTTACGCTCTGGATGTTTTTCTGTGTTTTGAGATAACTTGTAACAATATGTACAAAATACTATCAAGCAAGAGACGTTAAGTGAATTTTAGGTTAATAATGACATGTGAGTACTAAAAGTAGTAGTTTCGTCTTAGAAGTTCACGTATTTGATTAACACCTATTATTTCATTCGTCATATCATATCTCGTGTCATTATTCGGTACTGATAATCTATTCCTGTTAAAATCAAAATATGGGGTAACCTAGAGCGCTGATTTTATTTTATTATCTTGTACACTAAAATATGATTCACACTTTCAAATATTATGAATTTTTTCTTTTACCTAAGGTATGGTCTGCGCAATAGTCTCCTGTTGGCCCCTATGCCAACAGCATCAACATCTCAGATTCTTGGGAACAATGAGTCGACTGAACCTTTCACAAGCAACGTATTTTCTCGCCGTGTGTTGAGTGGTGAATTCCAGATTGTGAACCCATATCTTCTTGATGATCTTACTAAATTAGGGTTGTGGTCGGAAGAACTTAAAACAGCGATTGTTTTGAATCAGGGTTCTATTCAACATATCGACGGAATTCCTAAGGAGCTAAAACCTTTGTACAAGACAGTATGGGAGATTTCACAAAAGAAGATTATCGATATGGCTGCAGGTCGTGCCCCATTTATTGACCAGAGCCAGTCTCTTAACCTACATCTCGCTCAACCGAACTATGGAAAAATAACAAGTATGCATTTCTATACTTGGAGAAAGGTATGCTATATAATTTCTTAATGGTGCTTCCGATTAATAATATGCTTGCTATTTAATGCAATAACTTAAAGTAATGTACAGTCTTTTCATACATTTGTTCAACATAGATTTTCTGACTATTAGACGATGTATTATCTTTCCAGGGTCTGAAAACAGGTATGTACTATCTGCGAACACGACCTGCTGCTGATCCTATTAAATTCAGTGTAGACAAAACTATTCTGCGAGTGCTTACTGATTCTACTACAAAAACAAATGAGCCTCAAAACAATGATTCAATTGATCAAACTGTTGAAGCTATAGAAGAACTTCGAATAATCGAGGAAATACAGAAACGGAATTTGGACTCAATCGCTTGTAGTCTGAACAATCCCGAAGGATGCTTAAGCTGCCAAGGATAATATAACCTAATTTTTAAAAATTTATTTTTGTCAATGTGTTTTCTAACTGTAACTATATTCAGAAAAATTTTATAAACGAAGAGTTTTATGTTTACTTTGTCAATAGTATTATGTATTGATATTATATTATTTAATCACTTTTGTCTATCTTCTCTTTATACATATTGAAGTAGTTACAATAAAGGCTCATATTTTCCAAATAGCTTTAGATAGGTGAGACACATTATTAAATACTGTCATAGGTACACTAATTTTACTCCCTTTCAAATTCTAGGAAATACAGATTAAGAAGAGCATTGACGAAAGGAAAACCATAACAAAGTTAGCATTGCCTACTCGGTGGTCCGACCACATAATACAGCATTATGAGATCTATTTTAGGAAGTTTTCAGTCGTGTATTTAAGTCAAGGTGAGCTTGGAGCAGTATTTCCACTTTGTGGTGGATTACTGGATATTATGATTGCGGCGTATGTTAACAAGAAAGAAATCTGGTATTTTGACTGACTAGTTAGACTCATCAATCATGTCAAAGCATTAATACATTACCTATAAGCATATTATGCAGTGATAATATTTCATCTTACTTCGGGGGTTCTGAATAATAATTTTTTAAAATGTATTCGGCGGAGTGCTACCTACGTAAGATCAGTTGTTAGATAAACAGAACAAAATGCGTTACTTATAAAGTCTGGGTTGAACACGAGAATACTTCATACTCGAATAAATAGACTCCAGGGATGTGCAGTACTCCAGCAGCATTCAGCCACTAGGAGGTGTATGAGAGTCAAACGCTACCTTCGGGTAAACTAAGATGAAAGTAGTAAGGTACCAACTACTATTTCTTCTCTTAGCCCAGACTGAAGTTGACTATGCACTCGGTCAAAACTTAGTTGATTCACAATCGATGATATACGGTTAGGCGTTTGGGGCTTGTCCATGTGAACAGATATAGACTACGTACTTGGGCTCCGCGTGATTATCATAAGCAATAGTTAGATACTAGATTATATGGATCAGAAACGTTTAGTAATGACTCAGGTGCATCCATCTTTGTCTTTCCCCAAATTCTGATTTCCTCATTATTTTTCTTTGCTGTTGTCTCATTAATTTATCTCGAATCTTATTTTCGTTGCCTAATCTTTCTTAACACCACTGAAACTGTTACTACTTCTACTATTCCGGGATGACAGTTTCATCTCTTTGCTAATGGACTATGGAAACTTGAACGGATGTACATACGTACTAGGTACTACGTTGTAGCTGACCCAAGCGTCCGATAATCACAGATTTCAGCGACCATGTACTTGTCAATTTACTTTCTCTGTAATTATCACGATGACGAGTAGTGAAGATCTATCAGGTTCTTTGGAGTTTAGTCTTTTACACTCCTCCCGTTAAGATAACTTATAAAATGTCTGTGTATGGTAAGTAGGGGATCGGTATCCGAGTGAATTGTTGTGTGAGAATATATCACTGTTCATCAGAGCACTAAATAAGTGTGAATGGTTAGAGATTAGGAAATACGAAATCATGTAAGAGCGCAGGACTTTATGGGACATACTTGGTAAATATATCTGTGTTTTAGCCATTTCACCTAATATCGACCCTTCCTCGCGTAGGCCATAGCAAAGTAATATGCATCTACCGATGTGACTGTCCACTAATCACTTCACTAAATGACCCCGTCTTAATTCGGTCCCTCCCATCGCCTAGTTTCCATATGTTCCTACTTCAGCCAACATTGCAAATCGCGGTAGGCAGTAATTTGGGATATTCAAACGACTCCCATCTCGAACTTATGTGCTAACCGCAGCCTTATTTGATGGTTCCATGTTGTCTAAACTATGATTTAAAGATCAACAACTAATAGCCCTATACATAACTCCTAATTTCGCGGACCACTTTTTATACTAGTCGAGGAACACAGAGCAGAATGTTGTGCAGTATGCTTCCCCTTTGTTTAGCGGACTGACATTTCGTCCCCTCCAAATTGGTACAAACTAGACGAGATTTTTTCAGCCCACGATAGCTTATGAGATACCCATAGTAAGTGAAGGGCGGTCGACCAGTTCATTTCAGATAACTAATAAAGGCAAATTGAGATTGGCGATTCTATGGTTTGACTTAAGCCTTAACACGTCAAATCGTATCCTAGTAAACACTCATAAGTCCTCTTGGTCAATGGAGTTGAATGACACTCTAAGGTCATAAAATAATGCTATAGCTGGGTGTCATTGTTTATTAGTACGTGGATAAATCAAATGATTTGATCAATACATTCACGCCTTGGACTACAACCGACCTAGTTTTCCCAACTCTCCTGGCCAGATATGGGTCGGAAGACACTATATTAGCCAAACCGATTCTTTTGTTCTCACGAGAATTTTATTTCGTATAGACAAGGATAATTAAAACCAATTATATAAGACTACGTCCAATTTTCAAACTCTAGCTAATATTCCTGTCAAACTAATGGCTAAAATCCCTATTATCTTTAAAGACACCTAATCCAGCCTTACAGGTTATGATTCTCCACTTTAATTTGATATTTAGATGAGAAATTCCAAATGGAATTGTCTGGCAGGATCGCTTCATGAGGGAGACATGATTATCATATTAACTTGCGACTGCCCAAACGTAATGATAGACCTGTGAATCAAAACTCATTAAAAAGAAATGCGTAACTATGTTAATTTCGTATCTTCAACGACAGTAGAAGCCTAACTATGCGTAGTGATCTGTAATTGGCCGAACATCTATTTTACACAGCATCTAAGACAAGAATGAAGATAAACATGAAAGTAAATAATCCCAGTCGCAGATGATGGAAACGACTGCATGTTAACTTCTCGCGTTCACAGATTGTGAGCTGTACAAAAACAAACAATCCATACCCCCGCAAAACAACTCGTCTGTAATTAACCAGATCGACAGCCAAGGAATTCAGAACAAGTATATTGTCGTCTCGACCCTTTGTTTCTCAGAAAATACTATCCAGAAATCAAGGTTTACTTTCACTACAATGAATGTTAGGTTTCATAACAGTCATCCACTGAGAAGCGTTCCACAGAAAACTGTCTGGAAAAATACTACTGGCTGAATCAGAGCCTGTGATCAATGTTCACCAATATTAATATCAGGCAGTGAGTAAATGTTGCTCACTTTTGATATTCTTTTGAAAATAACGTCCTCTGACTAGTCGCGATTAAATCTACTAGATTTACTTCGAAACTTGGGATACGCAGATGACATGATAGCCCCAATGCAAAACACCGTCTTATATATGGTCTGCGCAGGTGCCTCAATCAATGATAGAGAATGAAGTATTTCGGTGTCGATCATTCGCCTTTTTTTAAGTCTTATCATCCCCGGTGCGTGCGTGTCAAACAAGATCACAGCACGGAGACAGGAAGCTCACGTGATCTTTGCTAGCCTATGAAATACCCAAAATGTGTCACTTTGTTAGAAAGACGAGTATACTGCACGGTCAGTTTGTCCTGTCCTACATTATAGCCACGGTAATGTTCTTTAAGAGGAAAGTATTGGCAAGTTACTAATATATGGTAAAATATGCCTTTGGAACACTTTCGAAGCTAGACGCAGAGTACCAAGCAAAGATGGTAAATCACTTGACGAGGTAGTTACACTTTATTCACTGCAGTATTTTCCACCACCGCTTACTTCGATAAGGTAACAATGGCGGCATGGGGGGTGAGTCAAAAAAATAAATACAAGCGAACCAAAACATGGTATTAGTTCATAACGTCAATAACTGACTGGCTGAGCTGTGTTGGTGGACTAAAAATACCTGATTGGACTCTGTTCGATTATTGCAATTTATGTCTTAATAAGACGGTCGGGGACAGCTCACAACTGGTAAAGGCACACTCTCTTCCATTAGATCCTGAATTTCAAAATCATCTTGTACTTTTATTTATTTTGCAAATTCGTTCTTTCCAAAAGCATACTGTCCACACTTAATGTGTTCTGCTGATATTCTTATTTCTAGTACTCTCGGATTTGTCTAGACGATTGGATTTCACTGTGCTGATATGGTACGACACATGTGCGCCATACGCTTCTTATGAATGACTGGGATTTACTGTTAAATTTATGAACCAATAGCTCAGGACTACAAATACGAAACTAAATAACTGGACTGAACATTTGAACCCAATGATATTTTTAGGTCTCAAACACTAAATTACCAAATTGCACCTACAAATTTTTGTTTATGACATGAGTGATAGAATAGATCTACATGGATAATTACGTAGCAATAAAATAAAAACGTCTGAGTATTAATTACCTACAATTTACATAATTAGAACAAAACCCTAGTTACTAAAAATAAAGCAGTTTATGGGAGCGATCTAAATAACTGGAAAAAATGTGTTCACTTAACTGTGAACAGGTAGATAAAGAATGAAAACAGAATATACCCGTAACGTTTTTACAAAAAAAGGTACTGTTTAGTTATATAAAACAAGTAAATTTAAAGCCTTATTTCCACAGTTTCTTGATGGATACATTTTTCTCAGAATCTTTTTGCATCACCTATAAATAAGCATAAAATTAAACAGAAAATTACAATAAGATGGAGGTTTAGACAAATATTTAGAGATGAAATTTAATTTGAGAAATAAATTTAGACAAATTGACGCCTTACAAGGAAACAATGGTATCATGAGTGGATCCCACACCCGTTAAATTAAGTCAAACATTTACAAGTTAACTGATTTTGAAACCACAGCGTTCAGTTACGCCGTGGTTTTAGTCAAAGTTCTACACTTTCATATAAATCAGCAAAGTTTAATGCTAAAAAGTATATGCCTGACTCCCATAACTCAAGTGATACTTCGAACAATTAAACTGATAGTCCCCTATGAACATTACCACAAAGCCTGAAAGCAATCAAAGTGGGAGTCTTCATTACTTTAGATTCGTGAAGGTTTTCTTCACTAGTTGGAAAAACTAGGAAAATAGTTTTACTCGACTTGTATTACTAAAGGTATTTACAGAAACCAGTCTGAACGAAGCACTGAACTTCGCTGGTCAACAGATTTTGTGTTAATATATCTTATCCTTATATACAACCTTTCTTGATATAATACCACCACTAAATTAATTACTTCTATGAATCCGGTCTTGTTGTGCTAACGAGGTATGGCAACTTGGACCGTTGCATATATGTGCCTGGTCCTACGTTGTAGCTGACTGATTGACTGACTAATATATCTTATATGTTCGAAATATTCATTGCAACGTGAAACGTGGTGTTTTTGTGTCGTAACAACGATGTTTATTATCAACCAACTTATTCTAGATTCTTTCAATCTCTTAATTACCAGTAGTTCATCTATCAATTGAAAGTACCCTAGTTGATTCAGAACGCCCAACGATTTGAGCACCATATATTATAATTTTTAGGCATTTTCGAGATGGATTTTTAATCCACAAACTGTAAGCTGTACATTATTTATTTATTTAAACACATATATATTGGTACAAAAGGGCACCAGGTACATATGCGCCACACAAAATAATGAAAGTAGGAAGAGAAGGGATGAAAAGATAAGGCGGACTAAAATGTACAACCAGAAGACTCTTTCAAATAGGAAAGTAAGAACCATACTTTATGTAGAAAGTAAAAGAAGGTTGCAGCAGGATCGCCACTGGCTTCTATTCTAAGCCATATCTGATAACGTCTCTAGCCACTGTGTTGCACCATCTCTCGGACCCCAACCAAGGAGTCGTGAAGGACCAACAGAAGCTAGCCCTTTGCAGCTCTCTTTCATGCCACGACACCATGTCATACACTGACCTCCTCTCCGCTTTTTCCAACCAGTCCCAGAGTCGGAAAATAATGCACGACGTGGAAGTCTCTGGGACGACATTCGTAAAACATGTCCAAGCCACCGAAGTCGGTGTTTCAAGATGGTGACACCAATTGAATTATCGTCTCTGTGCCCGAACACACGATGCCGAACCTCTGCATTACTAACATGGTGTTGCCACTGGATGTCAGCAATCCTTCGGAGACAACGATGATCGAACACAGAGAGACGTCTAACATCCTCAACTCGGAGAGGCCAGGTTTCACAAGCATAGAGCAAAACTGCTCTCACCGACGCGTTGTAAATCCGACCTTTTACAGCCAGACTAACATCACGAAGGCGCCAAAGATGGCCCAGATTGTCATAAGCCGATCTGGCTTTCCTTATACGTGCATCAATCTCATCACTCACGCCACCACCAGAACTAATATAGCTACCTAGATACACGAACTTCTCAACTACTTCGATCTGCTCACCATCCAGGGTGAGTACAGGATTAGAATCCTGCCAGTCTTGTAGGAGTACTTTGCAATTCGAAGGTGCAAAGTACATACCGTACCTATGGACACTGGTTGCCAACTGATTAAGTGCGGATTGCATGCCTTGGGCATTATCGCACAGTAAGACAATATCATCCGCATGCTCAAGGTCGAGAAGTCGTTCTCCAGGCAAAATATCCACACCGCCATTACTTACTTCCACCAGAGCTGTTTCTAGGATGTCGTCGATGGCAAAGTTGAAGAGGAATGGTGAGATCGGGCAACCCTGCCTAACCCCACTGCTCGAATGGAACAAGGGAGAAAGGTGGTTGTATGCCCTCACTCTGCCTGAGGTGTTCGTATACAGGGCCTTTAAGATGTTAATGGACTTCTCAGGCATACCCTTCTTCAATAGACAATCCCAGAGAACAGTCCCGTCCAACGAATCGAAGGCCGCCCTGATATCAAGAAACACTACGATTGTTGGCCTGCGATAAGTATGACGGTGTTCTAACATTTGGCGGAGGGTGAAGATGTGATCAATGCATCCTCGACCAGAACGAAAATCAGCCTGTTCCTCGCGAGTCAATCGTTCTCGGGTTTTAAACAATCTACGAAGAATGATAGAAGCCAATAGTTTGGACGCAATTGGAAGTAGACTTATCCCCCGAAAGTTATTGCAGGAACAACGCGAACCCTTTTTAAAGATAGGGACGACTATTGACTCATTCCATGATGTTGGAACACTTTCTTGCTCCCAAACCTTTCCAAACAACACAGTCAATTCCTTAGTCAGAAAGTCGCCACCATCTTTAAAAAGAGCCGGAGTTAAGTCATCTGGGCCCGGTGATTTGTAACGTTTCAAGAGTTGGAGTTCCTTGCGGACTTCCGCCTCATTTGGTGGAACAGTCGTCACCGGCCATGGAGGGCAGGACAAGCTGGTTGATGTTGCCGGAGCAGCAGGCCAGTTGAACTGCCCTTCGAAAAATTCCGCCCATCGTCCAAGACGTCGGGAGATGTTAGTGATTGGCATCCCATCATCCTCGTAGATTGTTTCACTCACACCAGACTTCTTGCTGCCAGTGGCTCGGATGAGTTGGAAGAGCTTCCGGCAGTTACCAGATGCAGCTGCTGCTTCCATCTCATGGAAGAATTAGCACACTCTACTTATTTAAAATGATTGGGCACTGAACATATTAATCTTCGGATTTCTTCATCCATGACGCAGATGGTACATTTGAGTGTGTTACCAGCTGAGTTTACTTCGCCTAACAATAAGGGTAAGACGTGAACATCGAAGATCAGAAACTAGTACGTAATTGTGGATATTACAAATTATGTAAAAAAAAGTCATGACATGATTAGTTAACAACGATCTAAACTACTGAATTTAGGAGTTTAATCAGGTACGTACATTTCGAGATACCACATATTTTGAATAGGATTTTAAATGGCTATGAGTTTCATGATAAACCAATTTAAATGTAAATGTGATCTGTGGAACCACCAATTTGAGACGGAGAAAAGGTAAGGGTTTTCTAAGCTGTAGTTACAAACCAGCGACTAAACAAATAAAACCACATTACTAGAATTTAACATAGCAAAGACGCATTTGCTCTCAGTCCTTCTTCATATACGATACGAAGAAACTTTCTTTTTTATAAGTATTTGTTTTTTAAGTAAATATGTCCATCATGTCAGTTAAATTTACATTTATTTATTTAAACACAAATATTGGTACAAAGGGACACCAAAATATAGATGCGTTACAAAATAGAAATGAGGTTGTGAAGTGGTAGAGAAGTTAAAGTGAGTATAGTAAAAAAGGACAACAATGGATAATAATTATAATGGGAAAGGCAGTTCAGTTAGGAAAAATACAACCATGAAGGATTCATTTAGTTAAAGAAGTTACTCCCACTTGCATGAAAAAAGTAAATGAAAGTTAAAGCAGGATCACCACTGTCATGTCTGGTAACGTCACGAGCCAAAGATGACCCGGACTGATATAAGTCGCCATGGTTATCACCATTAGTAAACTAGACACATCACTTACGCCACCACCGGTATTTATACAGCTACACAAATTTTCAGACCACTTGTAATTGCTCATCATTAAGAGTTAGTCCAGGCATGGACTTCTACCAGTCTTGTAAAAGTACTTCGCACCCAGCAGGTTCGAAGTATATGCCATACCTACGGACACTGATTACCAACTGATTAAGTGCGGATTGCATGGCTTGAGTGTCCTCGAACAGTGAGACATCATCCGCATACTCAAGTGGAGTTTTTCTCCAGGCAACAGATCCGCAAAACCATTACTTACAACCGCCAGAGCTTTTCCCAGAACGTCATCGATGGCAAAGTTGAAGAGAAATGGTGAGAATGGGTAATCCTGCCTAACTCCACAGCTTGAATGGAACAGTTGAGATGTGGTTGTATTACTACATTCAGTCAGTCAGCTACAACGTAGGACCAGGCACATATATGAATCGGTCCAAGTTGCCATACCTCGTTAGCACGACAAGATGAACACCGAATTCATAGAAGTAGTTAATTTCGTGGTGGTAATATACAAAAGATAGGTTGTATATAAGGATATAGTTTAGGAAGGAAGACAGATATGAAGCAATTTCAATCTCAGTTTAAGGGAAGGTAAAGAGTGCATACACCTGCGCCATTGTGATCGATTTTGAGCCATGTCACCTAGAATCTCCAACCATCGGTTACGATAGTCGCGTGGACTCCAACCAAGTAGTCTGCATCTACCAACATGGCTTAGACTAGAAGTTAGTTATTTCAAACTCTGATGCCACATTTTAGTTTGGCCGCCCCTAACTTTTTTCCAACCATCCCCAATACCAGTCAGCATAGCGCGTCGTGGCGATTGGTGTCTAGGCATACGTAACACGTGGCCCAACCATCTCAGTCGATGAAGATTCATCACCACATCAACTGATTTACAATCATTCCCTATTACCCTATATGTAACCTTACTATTACTTACCCGGTGATCCCAGTAGATGCAAACAATATTCCTAAGACATCTGTGGTCAAATACTAGTAACTTACAAGTATTTTCACAGCCGTAAAGTAGAACAGAGCGAACTGCTGCGCAGTATACTCGTCCCTTAATTGATAGACGGATATCTCGTCTTCGCCATAGATGACATAAGTTGGCAAAAGCCAAAAGAGCTTTTTCAATCTGTGCAGAGATTTCGTCGGACACCAACCCATTAGGGGTGATCAGACTTCCAAGAAGTCGCCGCGTTCGACTACTTTACTCCCTATCCTTAGTTTAGGTGTTGACGCAGGCCATTCCTGGAGTAACAATTTACTTTTAGAGGGGGAGAAAAGCATCCCAAACATCCTAGCATTGTTGCTCAGTGCTACCAAAAGACTGCATTTTATCAGCGTCATCACTAAATAGGACTATGTCATCTGCGCACACGATAAGTGGACCTCTTGGTAGAAGATCACTTCTTGAAAATTCAGTAGACGAGAGTGTTATTTCCAGTAATAGGTCTATAATGAAGTTAAACAAACAGGGATAGTGGACTACCTTGTCGGATACCACTTGAGGTTGTAAAATCAGATGGCAGTTCGCCATAAGCCCTCACTCAACTGGCAGTGTTCGAGTAAAGAGCCTCCACAAGGTTTATGTACTTCTGAGGTACACCTTTCAATGACAGACACTGCCACAGAACCTCTCGGTCTACAGAGTCAAATGCTGTTTTCAAGTCAAGAGAAACTATCGTTGACAGACGCCGATAAGCATGCCTGAGTTCTAAAACCTGACGAATAGTGAATATTACCACATTCTCCCTGAGGTGTTTGTATTTAGGGCTTTCAGGATGTTATTAAACTCCTCAGGTACACCCTTCTTCAATAGACTATTCCGGAAAATAGTCCTGTTTAGTAAGTATAATGGTGTTCAACACATCCTCGACCAAAATGGAGACCAGACTGCCCCTTGCGAGTCAATTTTTCTCGGGTTTCGAACAATCTACGAGGTACGACGTAAGCCAATAGTTTGGACGCAATCGGAGATAGGTTTATCCCCCCCCATAGTTGTTGCGGAAACGATGTGAACCCTTTTCAAAGATAGGAACAACTATCGACTCCTTTCACGATGCTGAAACACTCTCTAACTGCCAAACCTTTGTAAACAGTTCAGTCAGTTCCTTAACAAGGTCGCCACTATGTTTAAAAAGGGACGGAGGCAAGTCATATGGACCTGGTGATTCGTGATGACTCAAGAGTTGGGGTCTCTTGCGAACTCCCGCCTCGTTAGGTGGACTAGTTGTCACTGGCTATAGAGGATAGGACAATCTGGTCGATGTCACGAGGGCAGCAGACCAGTGGAACTACTCATCGTCCAAGAAGTCAGTAGATGTTATTTTCTGCCATCCCATCAGCTTCACAGATTGTTTCACTTACACCATTCTTCCTGCCAATGTCCCGGATGAGTTGAAAGACGTTCCAGCAATAACTGGAAGCAGATGCTGTTTCCAACTTGTCAGTACGTTCCAACCATCAGACTTCTCGGTCCTTAAGCAAGCTTTGCACAATTTTACCACGAAAAAAACCTTTGTTTATGGTCTAACTCGCGGATGGTCGTAGTAGACGACGTGCTTTAACGAATTGTAAGGAGCCAGTAGAAACTCGCTGCTTATAAACTCACAAGGCGACTACGTCCGTAATACGAACTACCCAAAAGTCTTCTTTGGATTTTTAATAACGCTAATTCATGACACTAATAATCTTCTATTTGAGTCATGTAGACTTACTAAATGGAGCTTTTGGGTTGATATTTCTTTATTTATTTAAACACATAAATATTGGTACAAGGAAACACCAAATACATATGCGCCATACAAATCTCTTTCGATTTGCTTGAGGGCTGTGATACTGCCTAGGTGCCCAGACTGAAGCAGGTGGTTTTCTTAGGGGGCCACACCCCGAGCCTTTGACCGAAAGATCTGATCCACAAGGCAGTGGAGCACCGTGAGATGCAGTCCCAGGGTAGCCGGTGACCAACGGTTGGTTCTTATGCCATTTGTTCCTTCAGGATACTGGAGCCCATGTGCACCATTGGTTTGGAATCAGGGTTTTCCAACTCCCCTAGGTGGACTCCCCTTGTCCATCAACCCTGTTAAAGCGCCGGACATTCGCTTTTCGTCCTCTCAATTTCGTAAACAACACCCCCGCCACGAGAAGGCAGTGAGTAGGACTTCCCTGACAGAGGCCATATATTCGCTGGCCATGTGAGAGCATTTCGAGAGGGAGAAAGGACTCTCCCCACTCTCGGCCGTACCGGGGTATTTGGGGGCAAGTTGGGTTGATAAGTAATGATTGAGTATAACTTAAATAACAAAAACAGGATTACAAAAGTTTAGTCACAATTCATCTCATAGTAGAATGATAACCCGAAGAACTGAAGTGTTACTAGACATTTTGCTTCGAGATTTGTGAAAAATTATGGGTTTTATATGCATATTATTCACTGACTGGATTAAAATCGTTTACCTTTGCCTGTTGTGCACAAAACTTTGAATTTGTTTACTTTTGATAAACTATAGAATTACCCATGTTATTTGGTAACTTCGGTGGCGAAAACAAAGTAGGAAAAACTACTACACACCATTTAAGTGTTTCATTCCTTCCCCTTTTTTAACTAGAGTGGGTTATGATAGGTGTGAAGTTAAAAGGGACAGTCTCTTATGCCTTTTAACTTGCATTTTCTTCTGAATTCAGAATTCTCAAACATTTTAAAACCATTTCTTGGATAAAAATAATCAAAATGGGCAATTGAAAACACCAAGCACAAGCGACCTAGCTAAAAAGTGGGTTACCTTAGCAACTGCTAATTCAAAATCTTCCTGCGTAACATGAACCCGACGTTCTCGTAACGCATACATACCGGCTTCCGTACACACTCCTTTGACTTCTGCACCGCTGGCACCAGGCATTGATTCTGCTAGCTTACGCAGGTCGATATCTCTAGTCAAGTTCATCTTTCGAGAATGTATTTTCAGGATATCTAATCGAGCTTCCTCATTTGGAGCAGGAAATTCGATTTTCCGATCAATTCGGCCAGGTCTCAGAAGAGCTGAATCAAGTATGTCAATACGATTTGTCGCCATGATAACCTATAGAGTAATAATAGTGTGTTAACTTTACTTTTATGTTTTGTTTGGGTTCAAACCCGTCCAACTGATTAAGCAGCTCCAACATAGTTCGTTGAACTTCACTATCTCCCCCTGTGCCACTTTCTAATCTGGTGGATCCAATCGAATCAACTTCATCCATGAAAATTATGGAAGGTGCATGTTCTCGCGCCATAACGAACAACTCACGAACCATTCTAGCTCCTTCTCCGATGAATTTTTGAACAAGTTCAGAACCACTAAAGGATATACAGTATAGATCAACTGATAATACCTGACACGAATAAATGTACATTCAGTATGGTGGGCAACGGCACGAGCTAACAAGGTTTTTCCTGTACCTGGGGGTCCATATAATAACACGCCTTTAGGCTGTGCTATTCCTAGGGCATCAAAAAGCTCTGGGTGTTTTACAGGAAGCTCAATGACTTCTTTAATTTCTTTGATCTGCTTATCAAGGCCTCCAATCATCTCATAAGTAGAGTCCGGAACCTTTTCTACCATCATTAAAGACACAAGGGGATCAACTTTGCTTGGCAAAATTTTATGCAACGTGTAACTATCGCTTCGGAGAGCCACACGGCAATTCGGAGATATCTGAGACATTTCAATGTTTTTGTCGATGTCCACAACGTATTTCCCTTCGGGTTGTACTTTGACCAGCACTTTCTTTTTATCCATAGCCTTTATAACTTCTCCAACAAATGAACCTTGTTCCTGTAACAGCTGCAACTCTTCTCGAAGCATCCGAACTAATGATTATAAGTTAAATACGTATCGCTACCTTTAGCGTTTAACTCGTTTCGTTGAGCCTCCAGTCGCCTTAAGTTGAGAACTTTTTCGGTGTATATAAATTGATGTTCATCGATCTTATTCATATAATAATTCTTTATCCCATCAGTTAGAGGAGGAGTAGGATCCAAAGTCCCTTTTTCAGCTTCACGCTTGACTTTCCTGGAGGGTTCTCCAGACAAATATTTTGGCGACCGACGTGGGTACGATTCAACTTCCTAAAATCAAACTTAATAACTCGTGCACATCAAAAGAGTATTTAAGCTAAATAAACCTATACCATACAATACTTACAATAGCAGCCATTGCGTCTAGTTATAGGTCAGGTGACCCGCTGGAATGTCAACTAATCCAATTTTCAATATTTTTATAACTAGCAGTAGTAAAAAATCTAGTTTTCTTTCATTTGAGTCTTGAAATTAAAGAATACTCACTAGATTTTCGAGAAGTCCAGTGGGTTCAAGCTGTTGCTAGATGTCAGTTTTATAACGAAGCACACATTAAAATATCATCTGTCCCGCTTACCATTACAACTGTTTCTTAGTATACTGTACGTGCGAGTAGTTTAGACACTCGATTGCATTAGCCGTTGTGAATCCGAAAGTTTGTGTCGAAATGTCAAGATTATAAGTCAGTGCTTTTTCTAAATTCTGTCTGTAACTCTTCTATGGCTACTGCCGGTCCCAAACCCCGGTAAAGGAGAAGGATTGCAACCAAAACCCATAGAAAACAACCCTGATGAAAAAACTTACGAGGAAAAGGTCACTAGATGGGTGCTCCTCCTAACAACCACAGCAACAATCAATATAGGTACATCGAGTGTTCGGACAATGTAGGAGACCGGGAACACCAACCAAATAGCTACGGAAATGAGGAGACACAAATTGGTAATTCTCGGAATCAGTGAAACCCACTGAACTCAAGCTGGACGGAAAAGGTTAGGTTCGGGAGAGGTGGATCCGTACACTATGCATGAAGAAGCAGATGCTCCACACATGCTCAGTGAGTTTTTTTGATGCTGTCCAAACAAGCATGAAAAGCACTTATTTGACGGAAATGTGATGGACCTAGAATCATCAAAGCATCCTTCAAAACAAAGAAGGAAGAAATCTCAATGGATGTCATCCAATGTTATGCACCGACCAATAATAGCAGTGACGATTATAAAGATCAGTTTTACGAAAGGCTGTAATCGATTATAGCCAAGTGTCCTGGAAAGGGTCTGAGTATCTTGATGGGAGACTTAGACGCCAATATCGGAATGCCCAACACCGAGCGGCACAATATTCCCAAAGCTACATTCGTCTCACCGGATCACGCTACACAGAACCAGATAGACCATATTTACATCAGTGAGGGATTCACAAGGTCAGTGGAAGGCGTGAGAACCAGGAGGGGAGCTGTCATAGCTTCAGATCACCACCTGGTTGTTGCCGAAATGGAACTGGAGCTAAAAGAGCAGTGGAAAACTTGACAAACAGCATTACAAACTTTCAATACAGCCTTCCTTCGACATACTGACAAACTCAACGAATTCAAGATCACTCTCAACACCAGGTTCCGAGCATTACAAGATTTACTGGAAGAAGAAGAAACTATTATGGAGGACAACTGGTAAGGGATCAAAGAAGCACTAACTCTAACATGTCAGGAGGTTCTGGGCCTCAAGAAGCATCATTATAAGGAATGGATCTTCATCGAAACCCTAGACAAGATTCATGAAAGGAAGAACAAGAAGACAGCAATTAACAACAGCCGAAAAAAACAGAGGATGTCAATGCACAAGCTGAATACACAGAAGCGAACAAGCAAGTGAAGCCAAGCATTGGAGCTGAGAAGCGGAAATATGTGGAAGACCTAGCAACGACAGTGTAAAGAGCTGCAAGAGTAGGAAATATGAAACAACTATATGACACGACGAAGAAAGTGGTAGGGAAATATAGTGAACCAGAGACCCCGTTCAAGGGTAAGGAAGGCAAGTCATCCACTGAAACTCAGGGACAGGAGGAACAGATGACTGGAGCGCTTCGAGGAACTCTTGAATAGACCAGCTCCATTGACCCCACTTGATATCGAAACATTACCTACAGACCTCATAGATGCCACTCCACCAACGATCGAACAAATCAGGATGGCCATCAGGCAAATTAATGGTGAGAAAATAGCAGGACCTTGCAATATACCATTTGAAGTACTAAAGCCAGACATAGAAGTAGTTGTTAACATACTCCACGTTCTATTCAGGAAGATTTTGGCGGAGGAACAAATGCTGACGGACTAGAAAGAAAGATACCTCAACACGATGCCAAAGAAAGGGGATCTGAGCAAGTGTGAGAACTACGGAGGCATCATAGTGTTGTCAGTATCAGGAAAACTTTTCAACAGAGTTTTGCTGAACCGGATGAAAGACTCAGTAGACGCCCGACGTTGAGATCAACAGACTGAATTCCGTAAGGACCGGATGTGCACAGACCGAATCGCGATACTATGGATCATCGTCGAACAGTCACTTGAGTGGAACTTGTCACTTTACATCAACTTCATTGACTATAAGAAGGCATTATGGAGTTCCTGAGAGAATTGTTAACATCACCCTGAATTCATACGACCAACTACACTGCAATGCCTTACATGGGGGAAAGCTGACAGAGGCATTCCAAGTAAGGGCTGGAGTCAGAAAAGGCTGTCTACTCTCCTCCTTCCTCTTTCATCTGGTGATTGACCGGGTCATGAAGACCTCCACATCTGAAAGAAAGCACGGAATGCAATGGTCAACTTACATGCAACTAGACGATTTGGACTTCGCAGATCACCTAGTCTTCCTATCTCATACACATGAACAAATGCAGGTCAAGACAACCAGTGCAGTGGCAGCTTTTTCATCAGCAGGCCACAACATACACAAGGGAATAAACCGAAATCCTGAAACCCAACATGGAGAACATAGGTCCTGCCATACTTGATGGAGAAGTTTTGGAAGAGTTGGAAACTTTCACGTGCCTGGACAGCATCACTGATGAACGAGGAGAAAGTGATGCAGGTGTGAATGCAAAGATTGTCAAAAGAGGGCCTTATTCTTACAGTTGAAGAACATATGGGACTCCAAACTACTGTCGGCCAACATCAAAGTCAGAATCTTCGATACGAACGTCAAAATAGTCCTTTTGTACGGAGCTGGAATTTGGAGAACTACTATAAGCTTCACCAGAAATGTACAATTATTCATAGACGATTGTCTGCGCAAGGTACTCAATGTTGGTTTGCCGAATACAATCAGAAAAAATCTACTTTGGGAGAGGATAAACCACCTCTCAGCTGAAATGGAAACCAGGGAAAGAAGCTGGAGGTGGATAAGACACATATTGCGGGGACTGTAAGGAATTGGGGCACAGGTGTGGATAATCAGATGCAATTTGATACGACATTACGCAAAAGTTTGGTCAAATATGAGAACCATACATTGAGTACGTTATTTGCGAAATTCGATCATTTGTCCTTCATATTCTAAACTATTCTTCCTACTCAAAATTCCCTCCTACTTCCGTTTCTATTTTCTTTAATTCGATCTTCCTAGCCTTCTGCTGCCAGTGTTTCCACTTTCGATTGATGTTATATACTACTTATATCTGTTGACATAAGTAGCATGTAACAAACTGCATCATGCAACAGGCGCTAACTTCGGATCCTGAATGGAAACAGAAAGGTATCAGGCAATGGAACACACTGAGTACAGTATTCGGTGAGTAATTCAAAGAGATAAATAGCAACTGAAGACTACTAGAGATCATTGCCTATAGTAGGGTTTTGTTTAGTGTATTTGTGGATGGCCTATGATCCACGACGAAGGATTAAAATGAGTGATTATTTTTTCAGTAGTAGTAGAGCTAATAAAGGCAACATATATATGGTTAAGAGATATTTGACCGTTCGGTTTATTTGAAAAAATTATGGCGCAAAGGTTCAAACAAATGGGCAACTCATTAGCTAAAAAAGCAAGTGAATATTTTGACAAGCTGAAAAAATAAATAAGTGGGGATTACGGGAGGTAACGTTGGGTAGAATGGGCTGCTAATAATGGTAATAATAACGGATATATCGAGAGACATTATACTGGTGGAACTACTCACTGCAAAACCTGTTTTTTTTTCAGCGGCCTGCTTGAATACCTGGGCTGCCTGTTACTAATATCTAAATATTTCAACAAGTTATCTGGGTTTTTTTAATTTGTTTTAACTTCTCAGTATGTATATTAATCGCATAACATATACAGGCACGTTTATGAAAAGCTTACGTCATTTCGCTACAAAAATCACAAACAAGTACAATAAGTCATCGTGGTGGTTGGTAATTTGCATTAAAGAGTATGAACAATAATTAAATGTCGAAAACCACTTCGCTGACATGTATCTGTTTACTTACGCTTGTCGCCCCTCCTTGAGGAGCACAGGTCGCTCACCAGCCTTCTCCATTCATCTCGGTCACGGACAATACTTTCAAGTTACTTACATCCTTTTCATATCTGACTCACGAAGTAGTGTGTTATTTAGCCTTCTTTTTCATATCCCTTCAACATTCTAAGTAAGCACTCGCTTCGTGGCTCAGTTTGATGCTTTCCAGCCATCTGTTCCTCCTGTCCCTTAGTTTCAGTGAATGGCTTGCCTTCCTTATCCTTGACCGGGGTCTCTGGTTCACTATACTTCCCTGCCACTTTCTTCGTCGTGTCATATAGTTGTTTCATATTTCCTTCTCTTGCAGCTTATACAGACGGAGTTATCGGTCCTTTTTGGATGACAAATTTGTTGGTCACTGAAATGCATGGTAAGATTAGCGCAAATAAGCGCATGATCAGAGTTCAGATAGTTCTTCCAGAGTGAGCGGCAGTCTTGCACACAGTAATAAAAGCGACAGCTGATCATGATGTGTTAAGTCTGTGTCCAAGTTCGAAGTGCGGGGCCAGGTATCACATGGGTGATGACCGTGCCGGTAGTTAATGCTGGCCAGGAACAGGTTGTAGTCTTCACACAGTTGTAGTAGACGGTCATTTTTACCCGATCTGCGACCGAGAATTCCTCACGGGATACCTAAATAACCCTCTTCTGCGCCTAGACTCCCGAGCTGAGCATTGAAGTCGAACGCATTTTCTGTAGAAGAACAGCTAGTTGGCAGTAGAACTCATCGTTGGTCGGATCCCTGCTGCAATCTGTCAAGACGTTGAAGATTTCTAATCTAACAACACATATCCGACTGATGATAGGGATTCGGTCGATTAGTGCTACTTCATCTCTGTCATTTAGTGCGACAACGCTAGAGAAATCAGACGATGCCACAGGGTCCCAGGATGAACGCACGTGAAACAAACTTTAAGAATCTACAGATGGAGAGCGAATTTGAAGTACTTTACTAGAGTCTTAAATACAGGTCTCGGATAAACAACAGCCTTAGATATTGAGACTTTTGGTGGGCCACGATCTGACTCCGATTAGGTTGTATGAATGATTGTTGTCAAAATATACATTCTGCATATCTTCGTATGTATTAAATGACTTAATTCGCGTAGGCGAATAATGGAGTTAATTAAGTCAAATACGAGATGGGATTTTGAATATATATATTTTGAACACTCATTAATCTGGACGGGAAATCAGAGGGATGAATCGAATAGAAGAGAGCGAAGCAAAAATGACGCGCATTGGAGATGGAGGGTAAGCCAACTCGCTTTAATCAATATTTATAGTCAGACAAGAATAAGTTACAGACATGTGATGAATAGGATAAGTGTACACCCACATACTCCCATAAAGAAAAACAGTCAGGGTTGATAAGTGGATAATTAACAAAGTCAAAGCGTGACTCATGACGGATAGGTAAATTGGTTTGTCCAGAAGCTAAAATATAGTATATGGGCTTGACATCTCAACCGACACAACAGATTTTCTAAAGAAATAGCCGACCCTATACAGTCTGCATTAGTGTGTGGACGCTGAATTGTGTATGTGGCTTTACTATTCGTTGTCGGTGGTATCATTCAACTTCCGACCAGTTAGTGACTTGAGATCGTTTAGATAGGACAGGGTATCCATCACAGGTGAGCCGCTGTATGGTTAAAAAATAAAATACACAAAATGAGAACAAAAGATAGATGAGCGATGTAGTGTAAAAGAAATAAAAGGAACGTTGCCCAATGACTGAATATAATTTGCCGGAATGCGAGTTGAACCGAGAATAATTTCTCCAGTAGTAATTATCATTGATTTGTGTGAGGGCTGAGATGCTTCGCAGGAGCTCAAACCGAAGCAGGTGGTATACTTGGGGGGATCTCAACTCCCTAGGTGGATCCTCTGTACCCACCAACCCGATTAAGGTGCCGTACATTCGCTTTTCATCCTCTCAATCTGGTAAACAACACACCGGCGGCAAGAAGGCAGCAAGGGTTATATTCTAACGAAGACATAAGTACGGGTAACTCCTAGGACCTATTAATGGACGATTATTCTATATATATTCTTATTGTATAACTATTCAGTGACTAGATTATATCTATATTCATCATATTTAAGCTTCATTTTGACCTATTATTATTAAACAATTTACTGTTCCTAAATTGTACTCAGTTTATTGATTACTGTCTCCCACATTTGGCTTGATTTTGTACAAATATTATTTTCTATTTTATGGTGTGATGTGGTCTGTCTGTCTGATATATAAGCAATGTTTGAAATAAACGATTCGCATAACAGCAGCTGCTATTGGTGTTCTGGACTTAAGTGGACGGGCTAGGCGGATTAAGGACCAATAAGGACGCGAGGTTACTCATACTGATTGGACGTCCTTGATTATCACCGTGTTAAGGTCGGAGAAGTCGTATTTTTATTGGTGGATAATTCACACGAGTTACGTCCTTGTTTAATTTGTAAGGTCATAACAAATTAGCGACGACCCTGATCAATTCACAACAGCAAGTAGGACTCCCATGACAGTGGCTATCTATGCGACGCCATGTGAGAGCAGTTCGAAAGGGAGAGCGGGTTCTCCTCACCCTTACCGGGGTTTATTTATTTAAACACATATATATTGGTACAACAAGCACCAGATAAATATGCGCCTCACAAATCTTATTTGATTTGTATGAGGGCTGTGATACTGCCCAGACTGAAGCAGGCGCCTTACCGGGGTACTTAAGGGCAATCATCACATTACATCATTCTGTACAACATATATGTGTAGAAAAATATCACTCCATCAAAAGAGTATATGCCCTCGGCCTTACACTAAACTAATAATCAATTAAAACGAGAATTTAGAGATGTAAATCAAAGAAGGCCAAGAATAAAACATGGGCATAAAAATGAAGATACCACTAATTTACAACACGCTTAAACAGTTATTCGAAATAATTGAGTTCAATGGTAGCTATTGGAGTTCATATGTGATTTTGTTTAGGACTAGGCATATATAATGCTTCCGTTTAATAATATACCAAGGGCGAAATTAGCTACAGCTATGCACTGAAAAACTTCTTCCAACTAGTTACATGCGCAATGATCAAAGTGTCCATTCCAGTTTATTACATGAAACATACATCTCACAAAACATGTTTTACGGTTATCACAAGCGCTATTTAGGATGAATCTATTGATAACAAATAAAATGTACAAGAGAAACCTGTCAATAGACTGCATTTTTTTCTGATGGTAAATAAGGTTATTAAGTGTTTTGAAGAAAATTTCTGATGTCATTTATACAGTCTCTCAAGAGATAAAACCGACAGCACAGCAACTGGATATACTATATCACTGACATGTGCTACTTATAATGTTACTGAAACGAGATAAATTCGATTGTTGCATCCAGCCTTCATTTTCTGATATATCACTTTGGAGATGAGATATGAAGACGGATAAAAACACAGATAGTTATTATCATTTTAAAATATATTGGAAAAAACTTCAATCTGTTTTGTAAACAATAGAACTAAATACAGGACAAAAAATCTTACATTAACATAAAAAAACATCAAAATAAAGAAGCTGAGTGAAACGGAGTAAAAGAATAGTTTGCTGAGGTGTTTGAATATACTAATCGAAGGACCTGTACAGAGTGGGCGAAACATTATGGGGAAGTGACTGTGATGAAGATATATACTTGAAGTGATTGTAGGAAAAATTTTATTCACAGATGGGCAATTGTTGATTTCTTGTCTCAACGAGTAATTTACTAACAACTGTCTCACCAAGCAATTGAGCAGCAACACGTACAGTATCAAGACGAGTTAACTGTAGGCGATAATGTCCATCATCTGAAATGGTGTAAGTAAAACGGACATGCCCAGAAGGACGAGCTAAGTGATGATCTCTTACCAAATGCTTTGATAATTCGTTACCTGTTTTCAAATGATAGGAAAAAAAAATACTACATTACAAGGATAATAAGTGCAGAAAGAGACAGATGGTTAGAACGTTGATATTTAGTAAAAAGTACAAACTATACACGAAACACAAATAACTGAGGCTTTTCAATAAATATAGATAGAAAACTTAACTTGATAATAGGTACCTGACAAATGATTAAAACTAATATAAACTGGGAGCACACGACAGTGATCCTATATCATACAAAAGTTAATCTTTTTATTATATTAAGAGAGAAAAAATTATTAAACACATACTGTAGTTTACCCTAAAAACTTATCGAATAAAGCATGTTTTTTGGTTTAGTAAGTTAATAACTATCAATGTAACACTATTTTGGAGGTATTATAGAGTACGGTAAATATATTAACTACGGTTTCGCTAAATTAGCAAGCGACATACAATTTATTTAGATATTACTGCCCTGTGTTTGCCGAATTCCCTACATCTAAACATATGACCACGGCTGCCTACAGAGAGAAGAAATCAACATATTCATTTACGTTATGGTATACAATTGCTATTTGATATTTAAAAGTGTCGTGTTGCTAAGCTACCAGTATTGACGGAAGAGCAATTGAGACTGGTACAATCTACCATGTAGTCCACAAATGATACTACTTGTATGAGTGTATATCCATGTTACTGCATAATAAGTTAAATAGGGTTATTATGAATTTGCCAGTTATATCTCTTTTGAAGGGTGATCATTATCATAGTAACATTTACAATAATCGTATGATAGATAACAGTACTACGCGTAATGAGCTAGTGACATTAGATCTTTTTGCATTTAAGTAATGTTTTAAATAATTATCAGCGGAAAATCTCAATTTGATACCTTAACATATTAATACAAGGTCTGTTGGAGGTTTCTGAAGGGATTTGGTCATGAACAAGATGACTTTAGATGCTGTTAGCGGTATGAAGGTGGTTGTCACTTCCCAGCTGCCCACACCACTTAAGGAAATTTCTTGAGAGACCTGAAAAGGAAGCTATGAGCATGACCTCAAAGCCTAAGGGAAAATTGCTTGAGGTTGGTCAGTCATGGCCTTTCCATGGGAAGGTTTTAATGTGTTAGCCCCGCACTTCGAAAGAACTTGCCGCCGTAGACGGAAATCCGTCGGGTACGACGAGGTGTGATAATTTAATAGTTGACCTTTTCTAGCCCCTCCCTTCTTTCCTTTGCGAAAAGACAGAGTCACTTCAGATGCTGGTTGTCCGAGAGGAACACCTTACTGCTGTTACACTACTCTACCGTCAGTAGTACGATTTCATCCTCGGAGCTTAAGTTGCTGCTCTTAGTCTAACCGTTCTCCAGCCGACCTGCCTAGCACGGTAGGACCTAGATGAACCTATGTTTCAGCTAATAAAGCTCGGTTGAGTTATCACGATAGGCGAACAAGACTATTACGTCAAGGTAGCAGATAAGAACAGGAAGTACAAGATCTATGACCCTAAAAAAGTGGACTAACTGATCATTTTAGACTGTAAGCTAATCAGTGAATAACAGTATATCAGGTTTTTCCACAACAATGGAAAAAGGCTTTAAAAACTAAAAGGGTATAAAAACTCTATTTTTTGAAATATTCATTAAACTACATTTTGAAAATGATTTATAAGGGAGAAAATACAACTAATCAATGCAGGAGAAAAAATGATGGGCATGTACGAGATCAAATGACTACATATTTCTTGTCCCGATATTTGGTTAGGGATGGAAGCAAAAATTAGATTAGTAATTATAAGTAAAATTGAACGACGGGAGCAATACTGAATCGGATGTAAGCAGGAAATCGATTAGTTTGCGACTATCGAGAAGTTTACTATATGATGAAATTAAATAAAGCAGTTCTATGAAGTGTATCAGTGAAAGTTACTGGATGAGGGACAATAAACAATGATATGTGTAACTGGATAGTCCACACTAAAGGTGTTTTAAGTCAAAGAATTAAGAAATGAAAATTGATTTCTGGAGGAAAAATGATTACTAGTTTTTGTGAGTTCATCTTTTTCGATAATTATAGGGCTATCTACGGTATAAAAACTGGATGTTATATTTTAGAACTCAATTATTCTAAACACTTCATTTTTTTGAGTAGGTGATATGATATGGTGCAACAAAAATACGACTTACCCCGTCGTTTAACAACAGAGCACATATGACACATATATAAACGTTCCTGAGAAGTATTTGGTGAGTTATCGGTACCATATGGACGATCTGATGATGACTCTAATGATGAATTAGATGGAAGTGGATTATGTTTACGACCAATATGAACAAGGTAACCATTTCTCTTATTAGTTTTGAAATTACAATCCTTATGAGGACAGACAAATACATCGACCGTCGCACAAGAAGTAGTATCATTGTCTGTAGGAGTTAAAATATCTGCTTGAACATGTGGTAAGGCACCAGCTTGAGCTAACGGTCCATGGATTGGGGCAATAGATGTGCAGTAAGGCCTTTTTTCAGCTTGTAAGATAAATTATGTAAAACAAATAAGTAAGTTAATGGAGTCTAAAATCACATGTGTAAATTAACATAAATTTTTTCAAAGCAAGCTTCCATAAGATGAAATTCAGATTTCTTGCAATGATAACATTTTTCTCAAATCATCCGATAAATTTAGAAAATTAAATAGATGACTTTGTTGAACTGAAAATTTTCCTTGCTTATTTTTATTCAATGTTAATGCGCCAATTTATAAATCTTGTGTAATATTCCTTCAAATACTTTATAAATATTAATCCCTCAATAGAAATCATTGTGAAAATATTTTAGTATTCTTACGTAATACAAGTGCACAAATGCTAAGTAGGGTTTTCTTATAAAAAGAAATCTAGACTAAAACTACTTTCTATTCTTAGGATAATCTAAAAGTCATATTTTATAGTTGGGTAAAAGATAGTTCTACTTAATTAAAATAGATAACAAAGGTGTTTAAGTTAGCAAACTAATACGTTAAGTATAAACAAAAAACCGACCAGAATGTAAAGAAGTCAAGAATTCATAATTGACCGTTACATATGACTGCCTGTAAAATTATATTAGACTGAGAATGTCATATGGCTTTATCGGTAACATGTGCAGAAAAATTAAACTTTAACTTTATTGTAACTTATTATAAAGTTATTATCGACAATATTACACGGGATACAGTTTATTATTATTTATTTATTTATTTAATCACATATATATTGGTACAAAGGGCACCGGATACATATGCACCACACAAAATAATGAGAATGGGAGGATAAGGAAGAAGATGTGTATATATAAAAGAAGGAAAAAAAGAAAAGGAGAAGAGTAATGATGGGGGGAACTGAAATGTACAACTAGAAGAGCTCTCTCAGTTAGGAAAGTTATAGCCACTCTTTATGTAGAAAGTAAAAGAAGGTTGCAGCAGGATCGCCACTGGCTTCTATTCTAAGCCATATCTGATAACGTCTCTAGCCACTGTGTTGCACCATCTCTCGGACCCCAACCAAGGAGTCGTGAAGGACCAACAGAAGCTAGCCCTTTGCAGCTCTCTTTCATACCACGACACCATGTCATACACTGACCTCCTCTCCGCTTTTTCCAACCAGTCCCAGAGTCGGAAAATAATGCACGACGTGGAAGTCTCTGGGACGACATTCGTAAAACATGTCCAAGCCACCGAAGTCGGTGCTTCAGGATGGTGACACCAATTGAATTATCGTCTCTGCGCCCGAACACACGATGCCGAACCTCTGCATTGCTAACATGGCGTTGCCACTGAATGTCAGCAATCCTTCGGAGACAGCGATGATCGAACACAGAGAGTCGTCTGACATCCTCAACTCGGAGAGGCCAGGTTTCACAAGCATAGAGCAAAACTGCTCTCACCGATGCGTTGTAGATCCGACCTTTTACAGCCAGACTAATATCACGAAGGCGCCGAAGATGGCCCAGAATGGTATAAGTAGCTCTGGCCTTTTATTTATTTATTTAAACACATATATATTGGTACAAAAGGGCACCAGGTACATATGCGCCTTCACTATGCTTGAATTGATTTCATCACTGACGCCACCACCAGCACTTATGCAGCTAACCAGATACACGAACTTCTCGACTACTTCAATCTGTTTACCACCCAGGGTGAGAACAGGATTAGAATCCTGACAGTCTTGTAGGAGTACCTTGCAATTCGAAGGTGCAAAGTACATACCGTACCTATGGACACTGGTTGCCAACTGATTAAGTGCGGATTGCATGCCTTGGGCATTATCGCACAGTAAGACAATATCATCCGCATACTCAAGGTCGAGAAGTCGTTCTCCAGGCAACAGATCCACACCACCATTACTTACGTCCATCAGAGCTGTTTCCAGAAAGTCATTGATAGCAAAGTTGAAGAGGAATGGTGAGATCGGGCAACCCTGCCTAACCCCACTGCTCGAATGGAACAAGGGAGAAAGGTGGTTGTATGCCCTCACTCTGCCTGAGGTGTTCGTATACAGGGCCTTTAAGATGTTAATGGACTTCTCAGGCATACCCTTCTTCAATAGACAATCCCAGAGAACAGTCCCGTCCAACGAATCGAAGGCCGCCCTGATATCAAGAAACACTACGATTGTTGGCCTGCGATAAGTATGACGGTGTTCTAACATTTGGCGGAGGGTGAAGATGTGATCAATGCATCCTCGACCAGAACGAAAATCAGCCTGTTCCTCGCGAGTCAATCGTTCTCGGGTTTTAAACAATCTACGAAGAATGATAGAAGCCAATAGTTTGGACGCAATTGGAAGTAGACTTATCCCCCGAAAGTTATTACAGGAACAACGTGAACCCTTTTTAAAGATAGGGACGACTATTGACTCATTCCATGATGTTGGAACACTTTCTTGCTCCCAAACCTTTCCAAACAACACAGTCAATCCCTTAGTCAGAAAGTTACCACCATCTTTAAAAAGAGCCGGAGGTAAGTTATCTGGGCACGGTGATTTGTAACGTCTGAAGAGTTGGAGTTCCTTGCGGACTTCCGCCTCGTTTGGTGGATCAGTCGTCACCGGCCATGGGGGCCAGGACAAACTGGTTGATGTCGCCGGAGCAGCAGGCCAGTTGAACTGCCCTTCGAAAAATTCCGCCCATCGTCCAAGACGTCGAGAGATGTTAGTGATTGGCATCCCATCATCCTCGTAGATTGTTTCACTCACACCAGACTTCTTGCTGCCAGTGGCTCAGATGAGTTGGGAGAGCTTCCGACAGTTACCAGATGCAGCTGCTGCTTCTATCTCATTAACACGCTCCGGCCACCAGGCTTCTCGGTCCTTACGCAAGCTTCGCCTAATTTCATTACGTAACAGCCTTCGTTTGTGGTCATACTCACGGTCACTCGGAGTAGACCGACGGGCTTCCATCAGTTGTAAGGAGCCAGAAGAAACCCAGTGCTTGTAAGCGGGACGTTTCACGAAGCCGCAAGCGGCTTTACTCGCCATTTTCATGGCGTCGTGAAGATGCAACCAATGCTCATCTATACTTTTCGGTGGGATGGTAGCTAGCCTAGAGGCTAGCTCCGCTTGATACTTACTTGCAACAGAAGTTGCAGCCAGTTTACTAACATCGATCCGTTGATGGCGGTCAATCCTTCGGCCACTGAAAAGTAAGGTGAGATTGGCGCAGACCAGGGCATGATCAGACTCCAGATAGGTACTTCAAAAGGAGCGGCAGTCTTGTACACAACCACGCCAGCGGTAGCTGATCGCGATGTGATCAATCTGAGTCCATGCTTGAGATGCAGAGGGAGGACGCAAGGTGGCACACCGGCGATGACTGTGCCGGAAGTTAGTGCTGGTCAGAAACAGGTTGTGGTCTGTGCACAGTTGCAGCAAACGGTCCCCGTTATCTGTCCTGCGACCAACAAGTCCCCATTGGCCACCTAAACGACTCTCTTCTGTGCTTAGACGCCCAACCTGTGCATTCAAGTCTCCGGCTAGTACTACAATATCTGTCGAACGCGCTCTCTGGAGAAGAACAGTTAAGTGATGGTAAAACTCATCCTTGATTGTATCCGGGCTGCAATCTGTCGGGGCATAGGCGGAGATAACGAAAAGACACCGTTTCTCACGCCTATTTCTTCTCACTTTGATGGAACTTTCTAATCTAACAGCACATAACCGACTGTTAATGGGGATCCAATCGATTAGTGATGCCTCAGCTCTAGCGCTTAGTGCGATACCAACGCCAGCAAGGCCAGACGAGGATGCCACAGGGTCCCCGGATAAGCACACGTGAAACAAGCTTTTCGACGCGACAGATGGAAAGCGGATTTGTAGTACTTCACTAGAGTCTTGAATACGGGTCTCGGATAGACAACAAACGTCAACATTAACACCTACCAAAGATATAGCCAGCCCTATCTGTTGTCTGATGTGCATTAGTGTGCGAATGTTGAAGGAAGCGAGAGGGCTGTGATAATGCCCGGGTGTCCAAACTGAAGCAGGTGGTTTTTTTAGGGGGCCACACCTCGAGTCTTTGACCTAGAGGTCTAACCCACAAGGCAGTGGAGCATCGTGAGGAGATGCAGTCCCATGGTAGCCGGTGACCAACAATCAGTTCATACGCCATTTGTTCCTTCAGGATACTGGAGCCCATGTGCACCATTGGTTTGGAATCAGGGTTTTCCAACTCCCCTAGGTGGATCCTTCATATCCACCAACCCGGTTATCGCGCCGGACATTCGCTTTTCGTTCTCTCACTTTCGTAAACAACACACCCGCCACGAGAAGGCAGTGAGTAGGACTTCCCTGGTAGGGGCTATATACGCGTGGCCATGTGAGAGCATTTCGAGAGGGAGAGCGGACTCTCCCCACTCTCGGCCGTACCAGGGCATTTGGGGGATACAGTGTTGTATACATATGTAGCAGCTAGAGACAGAGAACTCTTAGAAAAATAACTATAAGTGCTGAGTAATCGAGGATTAACAGTAAAACAAGTCCACAACAACACAGTTAAAATTATATCATCATTAGTAAGAGTTTGATTTATTTCGTTGTTGATATTCAGGACTGGAGTTTGATCAGTCTTTCTTAGCATCTGTACATCCTGTTGCAATATAGCCATTTCGTCACAAGTTTATAGATAAGAAGAATGCACATAAACCAACAAAGGCTGATCAAACTTTAGTCCAGAATATCAAAAGCGTAATAAGTCAAATCCCTACTAATAAACATCATATCTGTTGAACACGTTATTAGCTACCTGGACTCAGTAGCTCACTGGATAACGTGTTGATTTTTGAAGCGTAAGCTAATGAGTTCAAAACTAAATATCGATATCAACGATAGGATGGAGGTTCAACTAGTTGACGAGTATCAAAACAATCCAAAGAGTTTTGCTGCTGTCAAGTATAAACTTTGTGTGGTCGCTACTTACATACACGATCAAGCGGGTAGACTGAACGTTTCGTCAAAACCTTCAGAAGAAAATGCCCGTCAATATACTGAGCGATTTTTAACTTGTGTATCGGACTACATCGAACGACATACTACTAGATCTGAAATGGCCAGGGGAAGTCCTCATGGGTAGCATATTGAGAAAAACCTACCACCTGTTATTACCAGAAGAGACTGTCTGTGATAAAACGGTGCCACTGAAAGTCATAGCATTTGAAATCGGATCCTCTGTGTTCGTCAGAGACCACATACCACATATGATACATGGATAGAGAGGCGTATAACAAGAAGACTATGTCAGATAAAGTATGAGGTGGCGGTTAGAAAAGACAAATAGATGCGGTACCCTAATCATTTACGAAGGCATATATAATCGAAAATTACGGCAACGACACGTAACTTTTCCCTAGAAAAACTAGCAGACACTTTTAGTTTACTACAACCTCCAAACAACACATTGGAAGAAAGAAGAGAGATGTCACATCCAGGATAACTGAACCTAAGTCACAGAAGATGATTGTGTTTACCATAACTTACTTATTCTGTGTGGTTCAAATCCCTTATTTTTCTCAAACGACTCTATTCACTTTAAACTAGTTTGCTTTTATTTTAGAAGCAGTTAGGCATTAAGGTTAGGGTTCTAATGAAAACTCCTATCAATACTATACAGTATCAGAACTACGTAGAGGCTTTCGTCAAATATCAGCAAGTAAAATGGATCCTACAAATAACGTGAGGATAGTACGCTAGAAAAGATATAGAATAAATAAAAGAGCAATGTAAGCCATTAATTACTGAAAGTTCAATAAGATCAAGTTTATTTAAATTATTTCCTTAAAACACAGCTATGACATGGACGATGATTAACTATCAAGAAAAATCTCTGCATTTATTTCCTTAAGCTGGTAACTTATTTATTGTTAGTACCGTATTGGTAACATGATTAGAATGATAGTAATCCCAGTGTTTCGAAGCGGATAGTATTTATAGGCTTTAATTTTTATTTATATTCATTTTGGATATGTGAATGATGGTTTTGTTCGCTAATTTCTCAAAACAAACAACGAATGCATCTCTGGAACATTTTAGCAGATTAAGTGAAAATGCATTTGAGATGATGACATTATGTTAAATAAAGTCAGTTGATGAATTTAATAGCTGTGTAGTAAAAAAAAAGTGAAAATGTAGTTGAAAAATCCACAAGTTTTATACACTAAACTGAATTTAGCTAAAACATTAAAAGTATGGATAAGCCTTACCAACTAAATCAGATTGAGTGGTATCCGGTAGAACTGGATCGGTTGACTTCCTATCATTTTCATTTAATTCACGAATTCCATGTTTAGAACTTAAATGCCGCGTTAAACAATAGGTCAACTTAAATGAAAAAGAACAATATGGACATTTAATTGGCTTCTCGCTTGAATGTCGAAATAGGATGTGACGTTCTAGAGCTAGATTTTTCATTTTTAAAATACAAAAAAACAGAAAACAAATTAAAATTACAAGTGTCAAAGTTCCAGTATATCGACATTAAGTGCACATTGTTTACATCATCGGAATAATTTATTAATAGGCAAACGCTTACTGTATTAATTAAGATCAGTATTTTGAAGCTAGTAATTGAATTCTACGAGAAACGTACGACTTATTTGGGTCGAGAAAATAAAGGAATTATCAATTTTCTAATCCATTTCCAAGCTGTTTTTGGTCATGCAAAAAATGAAAATTAGGATTTTACGACACAATGAAAAGTTAATCAACACTCATTAGTCTTTTCATATACGCACTTCTAGCTTTTATTCAAATTATTCTTTATAACGGTGTTGTCCAGTCTTGTTGTGTAGTGTTCGAGATTTTAAAGCTATATTCCGAAAACTAGAATAACAGGATGTGTAGAAATGTGATTTCACTGATGCTTTGTGACAGTTATTTTGTCTTGATTGACTGTTTGTTATCTAATACGTAATTCATAGTCCAAATAAACTTAACAGGAACTTATGAATGTACATGGTAATTTAATTTTCATGAACATGCAATATTTTTAGTCAGTTTACCACTGATTTTCTATAATTAATATTTCATGCTCGATTACATAAGGATGTTATTTATCCAGGGTCCTCAGTTAAGAAACTATTTAACGGGTATACTACTATTCAGTTGCTTCGCCGTCGCAAAGTACTGTTAACAAGAACAGGATATATTAACCTTTATTTTGGTATTGTAGCTATACAAAACTTGTAGTATAATAATATGTATATATGAATTACTTGAACGGCTTTATTATTGAAAACAGGTTAGAGTCTTTCTCATTGACACTGAAATTTAATTGAGTGCAGTGATTGAGTTGCTGGATGTGTGATTCTGTTTTTGTTTTACGAATGATGCACTTTTAAAAGTGTTACATAATCAAAAGTTAGGCTTGTTTGAATCCTGTTCTCACTGTATCGGCCCTGCTTTCTGCCTAGCCCAGCCAGTTAAGTCCAGAACACAAATAACAGCCTCGACAATATGAATTATTATTCACAAGCATACTGGGTTTATATACTAACCAAACAGACCACATTATACCAAAAAATAGAAAAATAATATTTGTATAATAATTGGCCAATGTGGCTGTGGATAGGGGGAAAGTAACCAATAATAATAGTTCAAAGGTCAAAATAAAGGTTATGATAAGAGGAACACGAATATGATTAGGTCATTTATTTAACAACTATACAATAGGAAATAGGCATATTACATTTGTCCATAAATAGGCCTCAGATTTACCATTCATAATTCGCCAGGGGATATAACACTATCTACACCACTGATATTCATTATTCAGTTCCGTTTCTAATAACTTTTGAGCATATAATATAAAGCATATCTGTTGGCGTAACATATTCTCGAGTACACGAAATTAGTAAATACCTCATGAGTTGATGTTTATAATGTATTTCATATGATTTCGCAACTATAGAACCTTTTCTACAGCTAACTTCACGTCTCGTTCTGCTCGACTTGACATGTCACTCAATCGTGCGGTTGGAAACCTCAATAAGTAACAAATATTTTGAAACTATTAATATTTTTATGGACTAGTAACTGATCATGATTAAAGTTTGTTACTTTTTCTTGTTTCTTTGATCAATCTAAATCAACACCCTTTATTGATGTATAAGTTCTTACTGAATATACTCCGATAGTGTAAAATCTTCGGAACGATCCAACATTTGTTCCAGAAACAGGACCCAACCCACCCCAGTGACAGATAATTACCGATGTTCAAGATATATATTTTTTGGATGATATAAACTTCCAGCTTAAGCGGATGCTTTGGTGGTGTTGGGTTTTTGGAGCTATGAGGCGGAATTGTGTTTTTATTATCGTTCTGGATAATACATTAAGCGCCTACTTCATGTTATGAGTTAAAATCCCAGTGGACAAAACTCTGTATATATAGGGAGTAGATGGTAGTTTTCAGTTTCCGTATGGGTACTAAACAGAGAAGTATATACAGGTAAGTTCAAAATAAAATGAAAATCATGCATGCAATTCTACCAACAAAATAGAGAGGACAATGTAAAGGACATAGAACCTGGGACAGATACGCATTAGTTCAAGTTGCTATATCACGTGTAAAGAACTATTCAAGAAAAATATTCAATACATACCTGACTTGCTCCAGACAGTCATATCACAAAAAGGGCACTTTACTGTATTGATATGTCTTTTCATGTGTGACATCAATAATCTTTGTGTACTGAATACTCTTCTACAACGACTACATTTCACGGGCTTGATCGAATGATGCAAGTTCTCCTTGAACTGTAAAATAAATATAAACAAGTTGAGTGGTACAAATGATATGAGACACTAAATAATTAAATATTATCGACACGATTTTATCAAGGTGGTTCATATAGCAGTTTAAATTTATTTGAATACATATTGACAGTCATGGACTGTCGTCGAACTTCGAACTACTTTCTAATTTTTAATAAATGCTTAACTGATTCTAAAATATTTCTGATAGAACATTTTCAACCTTGAAAGCAGCATGAATTTACAATATAGTGAGATTGACATTTTGAACACTTCATCCAGATGATAACTATTGTGAAGAGAGAAATAAACGAGCAATGATCAAAAATGAAAGCTACTTTCCAAGACATTGCTTCGTATAATTTGAAATCTGTGAAGTACTAACATTTAGTCTTGAGTTTGCTTTATTCTTTAAACCATAAGCTTATGTTTAATGAATAAATTACTGTCAGATTCTTTTCCCTTCCTAAATTACTGTGATTTAGACGCAACCCTTGTATTCCATTTCTCTACTTTAATTTTCTCAGTTCAGATCTAAATGTATTTTACTTATTTTCTGTGCATTGTAGTCTAGTTAACCTTTTAGTTTTGTTATTATTCTGGGCTGGTTAAATCAAGAATGAGCTGAATATATTGTGTTAGCTAAATCGTCTTCTCGCCACTTGTCAACTTATCAGGTCATAGGTCAATTGTGGGATAGCTATTTCTCTGCTCTCAAAGCCATCCGGTCAAAAATTAAACTCAAGTGTTACATACCTCCAGGTTGTACTAAGTAACCTATCGCGTCAGGGCCGCAAAGTGAATCGACACAACTTTCTCCCTGCACAGACTTGTGGGCAGACAAAACAACGAAATGACTACAATGCTATCCCGCTGAAATACATATGGGTAGAAGAAAATAAATTCACATAATCGAAAATGAGGTAGAGTTTTTCAGTGCAAATCATTAGTTTTTGACTTGCTGTTTTATACTACATTTACAGTAGATGATTAAATGAGTGATTATAAAGTAACATATACGTACTTGAAGTTTTATTAGCATTCATAACACTAGGAATGTACGACGGACCAAAGAGATTACAAACTCATTAATAAAAATACAATTTGTACAATACTACGAAACTATGGTCATGGTTCATCAGGATAACCTCTGTGTAGTTGATGAAGTATTTTTGTTGGAAGAAGGAATCTATTAGTAAATGCTGAAGCATTTAATTAATTAAAATTTAGTCTCAGTCTGGGCACCTATGCAGTATCTCAGCCCTCACACAAATCAAATGAGATTTGTGAGGCGCATACTTATCTGGTGCTTTTTGTACCAATATTTATGTGTTTAAATAATAATAATAATAATAATAATAATAATAATAATAATAATAATAATAATAGTCTCAATCTTTGTGCAGAACTATGGTAAAAAACTATGAGATTTACGTGGCAACAGAAAGAGATGACAGTATTTGGAAACTTACATTTTTCAGCCAAAATCTCCATAAAAATATATGGGTTTAATTTTAGCATTAAAATTGTTAGTCAGAATGTAAACATTAAAAAAAGAAACTAAAATAGAATTTAAGTGATTATTTATTTCTCAAAATATTTTTCTATTTGAATACAGTAACTGATAAATAATCAGATTTTGTATAGTAAAAAGGAATTGGAAAGTAAGACAAATTATACACTTTCTTTAATTTTCAGTTTCCTCTTCCAAAATATTCACATAGTTAACCTATTATTTATTAAATATATGAACAGCTATGAAAAGTGGCCATTAAGAGTAGAAGATACTCGTAAGTTATTAGTATTTGACCACAGATGTCTTGGAAATATTGCTCGCATCTGCTGGGATCACCGAGTAAGTAATAGTGAGGTTAGACATAGGGTATTAGTGAATGATGGTAAATCAGTTGATAAGGTCATGAATCTTCATCGACTGAGATGGTTGGGCCACGCGTTATGTATGCCTAGACACCGATCGTCACGACGCGCTATGCTGACTGGTATTGGGGATGGTTGGAAAAAAGTTAGGGGCGGCCAAACTAAAATGTGGCATCAGAGTTTGAAATAACTAACTTCTAGTCTAAGCCATGTTGGTAGATGCAGACTACTTGGTTGGAGTCCACGCGACTATCGTAACCGATGGTTGGAGATTCTAGGTGACATGGCTCAAAATCGATCACAATGGCGCAGGTGTATGCACTCTTTACCTTCCCTTAAACTGAGATTGAAATTGCTTCATATCTGTCTTCCTTCCTAAACTATATCCTTATATACAACCTATCTTTTGTATATTACCACCACGAAATTAACTACTTCTATGAATTCGGTGTTCATCTTGTTGTGCTAACGAGGTATGAAAACTTGGACCGATGCATATATGTGCCTGGTCCTACGTTGTAGCTGACTGACTGAACCCCAGTCTTGGTGAAGATTTTTCTGTAAATGTGATATAAAGTATAGTAATTTGTTTTCGACGAATAATCCTATTGTTTTTAGGTTGTAAGCAGCTGAAAGCAATTCATAAAATAAATAAAATCACGTTATTTTGCTATGATATTTGTTTTTGCTTTACTGAACTCATTAATAAACCAGTATACATAATAAAAAATCACTTACGTTGGTGCTTTTATTTAATAAATGAATTTGTTGACGTTTAAGATGATCTTCTAATTTACGAAAATCAACAAGTAATAAACCACATGTAGGACAAGCTGCACGTTTGGTTTGAGTATGAGTATCCAAGTGACATGAAAGATTGCTTAAGCGATTAGCTATATATGTACAATTCTCCCATAGACATTTTAACCGTACATTTTTAGGATATCGAGAATCGGTATACTCCTACAAAAGAAAGGTAGTTGAGACGTAAAAATAGAATTGCTAACAATTAGAAAATATATATGCATCGATAACGCTGTACTCACTGGGGCTTTAAATTTCGTATCATATTAAATTTAATCCGTGCAACAACCAAAATCCTGAGGTATATTACGTATATATATATATATATATATATATATATATATATATATATATATATATATATAGAATAGAAATTATGTGAAAATGGAGCACGAAATAGTTATTCAAATGAAACGACAGAAAAAGTATGAAAATAATTTTCAGTCAAAGTGACCTGCATTATTCCTCAAGTATGTAAAGAACCTTGAGGAACTCAAACTAATCATTAGTTGTTCAGATGAGCCACGAATAAGACTGGTGATCATATGGTGGAGTTTCAATTTTTTTTGTTTACATAGGGTTTTCAAAAAGGAACAAAATGACCTCTTGAAATGGAATGAGTCATTACTTTCACACTAATGTTATTTACGTTAACTAAAAACTAACACTTCTAGATATTTTTTAACATTTTATTTCAAATAAACTGTGGAGAAGGTTAGCCTTGAAGGCCTAACAATCCAAAAAAGAGTTTGAGATGAACGGTAGATATGCTTCATTTATTTATCGACTGGTAAATATGCACACTATTGTTTATAGCTATTTATGAGTCAAATGCTTACAAAAAAGGGAATTTTGTTGAGAATTCTTCATTGTAACCAAACAATATGGTGTTGAGTAAGGCGTGTTATTATGATTGATCTGAAATAGCTCTCACTCTATTTGTACCGTTATTTTGTTTTAACTGTGGGATTTGGCTGTTAGTCAATCATTGCCGAATTTTTGGACTACTTTGGTATACCAAGCAAGTTTTTCTACTTAAGGTCCCACTTAGAAAAATACAGATCATGATGAAAACTAGACTAAATAAGATTATATTATGAGAATGAAAGTTGTATCATACATGGTCAACTACTGTTAAGTCGACAAACAATGGTGACTGGCGAAGGACTAAGTTGGACCAAAGTTACTAGTAGCCAAACCAAAGGGTAAGAACAATTCATCAAACCGTTGTTCTGAGCCATGTGAAGTGGAGCATGCAATGGTTGGAGCTTGTATGATAAGTGTAATTAATGTGGATACTTGAGATGACACGTTTGAAAAACGACACAAGTTACATGGATGGCTTTATTGTTGATCATCTTATAGATTTTGAGTTTAGACGTAACTTCAAACTAAACAAATTCTCTTCTTCTCTTCGAGCTATATTCATTGTTTGGTTCTTTTTATTGCTATGAACACTATTGTACAACCAACTTTACTTGGTATGTTGTTTTATAGTAGCATAAGCCGATACACATTTGTTTTAGGGTCTATAATCTTTATGACTGAGACACTGTGAAGTAAAAATCTTGGGAAATTCGTAAGCGTCTCAGTCAATTTTTTTCAACTGATCATCAATTTTGGGAAATATATGAACTTAATATCATCGACAGCTGTAGAAAGTTTTAAGGAATAGAAACAGAAGTACAATAAATAATTTCAGGAAAATTATACAGAAAATATAAACAAAAAGCATATGAAAAATGTACCTCTGGGTGTCTCGATACATGAGTAATAAATACAGAAACATCGTTGGTTTTAAAATCACAATATTCCCAACCACACTCGAATTTGGTTGGAAGCTCGGGGATCAAATTACATGATACTGAGTCGGATAAACATACAGGCCAGTCATTTAGTTCTAAAACATGTTTCCCGATCGTTTTCAGTTGGTTGACCCATGAATGAAAAAACGAATGCCTTTCAATCCCATCAATATCAGTTATATTTAAAGAGGCGTTACATATGCCACAGACAGGAAGACGTGGACCTTGTGAAGGTTGCTCACATAGTTCCTGAAAACAAAAAATGGAACGAGAGGCTAGTTTTCAACTAAAATTCAGTTGGCCAAATATAGAAAAATATTTAAAAGTAAAATTTGATGATCAATGTAGATAAGTCAAGCATTAGGAATACAAAGTAGATGAAGTAACTAGATAAAAGGGGGCACGTTTTTTGGTTAATAGACGACCTTAAAAGCAGCGGAAGTTAAATTACCCTTGAGAATGACACATCTTACTGAAAGGAAATAAAAGTATTTATATAAAACACAAATGTATGGCTTTAATTTGTATCTTACGCACTCAGTATATACATTCAGAAAATTGAACAAATCGTAGTCCGCTAAGCTGTCTTTGGATATATTGTCTCAAATAATCAAATCGAATGATGGATTATGGTTGAGTAAACCCATCAGATAGAATTATGACAATAATTGTAAAGCAACAATTACTAATAAGACTTACTCTAAAGTGTTGCAGCTGGTGATATTTGAGCAAATTTTCGTTGTTGTATGTATTACAGCAGTTTGGCCATTCACAACTGTAGGACAGTTTCATACCAGAAAGTAAGGACTTCCTACCCCTTGGCATTGATATCCTATATTGCTAGGACAACAAATATACAGAACGAAGATATCCCCGAATGAAAATAAAGAACTTTGTAAAATGTTGGTTTCAGCTTAAAATAACACAGTGAGCAAATTCATAACTAGTACATGTCATAAGGTTTATTTTACTAATATGTGATACTAACAGTGAAGAAATGGGAATAAAACCAAAATCTACACTCATCAAATTTTTCGACGTATGAGTTATTTATTTATTTGAACACAAATATTGGTACAAGGGGGCACCATATATATATATATATATGTGCGCCACACAAACAATGAGAATGGGAAGAGAAAAAGAGGGCAAGGCGAATATAAGAAAAAAAGAAAAGAACAATAGCAACCACAGATTGGTGTTTGTTAGTGTAATAATAAGAATAATAATAGGGGAAACAGAAAAGTACAACCAGAAAAACCCTTTCAGTTAAGGAAGTTATAACTTTTTATGAAGAAAGTAAAAGAATATTACAGCAGGATCGCCACTAGTTTCTATTCTAAGCCATATCCGATAACGTCTATAGCCAATGTGTTGGACTATCTCTTGGACTCTAAACAGGGATTCGTGAAGGACTAACAGAAGCCAGTCTTGTACAACTTTCTTTCATCCCTTGACGCCATACCATACACTGACCACCTCTCCGTTTTTTCTAACCGATCCCAGCGTTAGCAAATAATGCACGACGGAAAATTCTCTGGGACGACATTCGTAGAACATGTCCGAGCCGGTGTTTCATCGCTGTGCCCGAACAGACGACGCCGAACCTCTGCATTGCTAACATGGCGTTGCCACTGAATGTCAGAAATCTTTCGAGGACAACAATGACCAAACACAGAGAGTCGTCTAACATCCTCAACTCGGAGAGGCCAGGTTTCACAAGCATAGAGCAAAACTGCTCTCACCGATGCGTTGTAGACCCGATCTTTTACAGCCAGACTAACATCACGAAGGCGCCGAAGATGGCCCAGAATGGTATAAGTAGCTCTGGCCTTTTATTTATTTATTTAAACACATATATATTGGTACAAAAGGGCACCAGGTACATATGCGCCTTCACTATGCTTGAATTGATTTCATCACTGACGCCACCACCAGCACTTATGCAGCTAACCAGATACACGAACTTCTCGACTACTTCAATCTGTTTACCACCCAGGGTGAGAACAGGATTAGAATCCTGACAGTCTTGTAGGAGTACTTTGCAATTCGAAGGTGCAAAGTACATACCGTACCTATGGACACTGGATGCCAACTGATTAAGTGCGGATTGCATGCCTTGGGCATTATCGCACAGTAAGACAATATCATCCGCATACTCAAGGTCGAGAAGTCGTTCTCCAGGCAACAGATCCACACCACCGTTACTTACGTCCATCAGAGCTGTTTCCAGAAAGTCATTGATAGCAAAGTTGAAGAGGAATGGTGAGATTGGGCAACTCTGTCTAACTACACTGCTCGAATGGAACAATGGAGAGAGGGAGGATGCCAAGTGGCACATCGGCGATGACTGTGCCGGAAGTTAGTGCTGGTCAGAAACAGGTTGTGGTCTGTGCACAGTTGCAGTAAACGGTCCCCGTTATCTGTTCTGTGACCAATAAGTCCTTGTTGGCCACCTAAGAGACTCTCTTTTGTGCCTAGACGCCCGACCCGTGCATTCAAGTCTCCGTCTAGTACTACAATATCTGTCGGACGCACTTTCCGGAGTAGAACGGTCAATTGGTGGTAGAATTCATTCTTGATTGCATCCGGGTTGCAATACGTCGAGGCATAGGCAGAGATGACAAAAAGGCATCGTTTCTCACGCCTATTTCTTCTCACTTTGATGGAACTTTCTAATCCAACAGCACATAACTGACTGTTAATGGGAATCCAATCGATTAGTGTTGCCTTAGCTCTAGCGCCTAGTGCGACACCAACGCCAGCAAGGCCAGACGAGGATGCCACAGGGTCCCCGGATAAACGCACGTAAAACGAACATTTTGAAGCGACAGATGGAGAGCGAAATTGTAGTACTTCACCAGAGTTTTGAATACGGGTCTCGGATAGCCAACAAAAGTCGATATTAAGACTTTCTAAAGATATAGGCAGCCCTATCTGTTGTTCGATCTGTATTAGTGTGTGAACATTGAAGGAGGCCAGTTTGGATTTCTTACGTGGTTTCAGAAAAACTGGTTTAGTGTGCATATTCGGTGGGAGAATTCACTTTCGACCAGACAGTGACTGGAGATCGTTTAGATAGAACAGAGCTTCCACCTTGGGAGAGCTGCTGCATAAGTTTAAAAGTAAGGTTACACAAATTGTGAATAAAAGGGAGTGAATAAGTGACGTGGTAAATAACAATAATGATAATGTGAATTGTTTGACTTTTAATCGGAGCGTGAATAGTATTTTCAGTAAATATCATTTCATTTTATTTGTGTGTGGGCTGCGATACTGTCCGAACGCCCAGACCGAAGCAGGTGATTTTATTAGGGGGCCACACCCCGAGCCTTTGACCTCATGGTCTGACCCGCAGGGCAGTCAGTCGGTCACAACGTAGAACTTCGTGCGCACGTACATTACTTCGAGTTGCCATAACACATTAGCACAGAGATGCAGTTGTCGATTCAAATTCCATAGTGATAGAAGTAGTAAGAGCATAAGCAGTAATTTGAAAGATTAGGGTTTGAATATGTTATTGAAGGAGTATAGTCCAATGAAATGGATTTGGAAAGAGAAAAAAAAGATAGAGACATGAAGAATTCAGAAGGTTAGAATTTGGCAGAACACAAAGAGTGGATGCATCTTCGCCACTGCAAACGATTTCGAGCCATGTCATTCAAGGTCTCTAACCACCGGTTGCTATCATCTAGCGGATCCCAACCAGGTGGTTTGCACCTACCAACATGGCTCAGTCCACTCGTCAGTGACTTCATGGATTTATGCCACTTTTTGGTCTGGTAGCCTTTAGCTTACTTCCAACCTACTCCTACACCATGAAACATTGCACATCGGTGGTTGGACATACGTAACAAGTGTCCCGGCCATCTCAACTGGTGAAGTTTCACTACTTCATCAATCGATTTGCCATCCTTACCTAGTACCCGTTTCCTAACAACTGCATTACTTACTCAGTGGTCTCAGGATATACGAGCACTGATTCGAAGACACCTATGATAGAATACTAGTAGCCTACAAATATCCTCTACTCTTACCGGCTGTTTCACTGCCATAAAGTAGAACGGAACGAACTGCTGCACAGTAAACCCGTCCTTTGGTTGCTAGACGGATATCTCGCCTACGCCATAAATGACGTAAGTTGGCGAAAGCTAGACGAGCCTTTTGTATCTGTTCTGAGATTTTGTCACACACCAGACCACAAGGGCCGATGAGAATCCCAAGATAAGTGAAGCGGTCTACACGCTCGACTACTCGATGAAACCCAATCCTGAAGTAACATTCCGCACTTTGAGGGGAAGAATCGCATCCCGAACATGCCTGCATTGTTGCTTATAGTTGTCAGAATGCATTTTGTCAGCGGCTTCACCAAATAGAACTATGTCATCGGCGTATTCTAAGTCAACAAGTGAGTCTCCTGGTAGAAGTTCAAATCCTGGAGATTGAGATGACGAAAGTGTTATCTCTAAAAGCATGTCAACGATAAAGTTAAACAAGAATGGAGAGAGTGGACAGCCCTGACGGACACCACTTGAGATAATCGATTCTGATGACAGTTCCCCATAAGCTCTAACTCGACCAGTTGTGTTCGAGTAGAGAGCCTTTATGAGGTTAACATACTTCTTTGGTACTCCTTTCAGTGACAGACACAGCCATAGAACCTCACGATCAACGGAGTCAAATGCCGCCTTAAGGTCAAGAAATGCTACGATTGTGGGACGTCTGAATATGTGTCTATGTTCTAGGACCTGACGTAGAGTGAATATCTAATCTATACAGCCACGTCCAGGTCGGAAACCAGCCTGGTTTTCTCTAGTCTGCTCTTCACGAGCTTTGGTTAGGCGTTGAAGTATTATTGAAGCTAATATTTTAGACACTACATTAGTTAAACTGATCCCTCTGTGATTGTCACAAGAGGACTTTTGTCCTTTCTTATAGACCGGTACAATCAGTGATTGGAACCAGTCAGATGGAATTACGTTTAGTTCCTAGATTCTACCTAAGAAAAAAATGTCCATCCTTTACCGAGATAGTTTCGCTGACAGTTGGGTTCCTAATACCGGTTTTTTTAACAAGTCTGAACAGTTGTCCATTGCCACTGCCTTTCTCACCCCTCTTGCTTTCGCTACCCACCACTGTTCGCGATCAATGCGTGGGCTTCTTGTTAGCCCGCGCTTAAGTTGACTCCGCTCTTCGTTATTTTTAGAGCCAGATGGGGTGAGTTTCCGGGCATCTATCAGTGCAGTAGATGCTGCTGAGATTCAGCGTTTCTCCCTAACCTTATGGTTTACCGTACTAGCAGATATCACTGCTGTTTCCACAGCTTTTCGGATGTCATTCTACGCTGCCTCAGGGTGGGCACAACCTACATGGCTGCCTAACTGTTTTTCTCGTTGTTCCTGAAATATATTCTTATCTTGCCTATCATTAAGTAGAACCCTAAGAGACTTCCTTGCAGCGTCTTCCCTACGTCCAGTAAGACACAGACAGATACGTGCTCGCACTACAGCATTATCTGAATCTAAGCATGTGCTTCAGAATGAGCGACAGCCTTCTATCGAGCCCCCCCACGAGGCAGTGGAGCACCGTGAGGAGATGCAGTCCCATGGTAGCCGGTGACCAACAATCAGTTCATACGCCATTTGTTCCATTAGGATACTGGAGTCCATATGCGCTATTAGTTTGGAATCAGGATTTTCCAACTCCCCTGGGTGGACTCACCATGTCCACCGGCCCGGTTAATGCACCGGACATTCGCGTTTCGTCCTCTCAGTTTCGTAAGCAACACCCCTGCCACGAGAAGGCAGTGAGTAGGACTTCCCAGGCAAAGGCTGTATACGCGTGGCTGTGTGAGAGTGCTTCGAGACAAGGGAGGTTTTTTCCTACTCCCGGCCGTACTAGGGCATTTTGGGGCGAGTAAAAGCCGCAGGTTAGACTAGTCCAGCCCGGGGTACGTATGACTACAGAGAAATCAACTATTCACAAACGCATTTGAAGTAACTAGTATGACAAGCGCATTAGAATGAATGTTGTACAAATATCTGAACATGTGTATAACGAGATTTTACGAGTTCTAGATCATTTAGAACAGTCATTAAATCACTGAAAAAATTAATAGCAAGGAAGTCAAAATAATAGGATTGATGATAGTGAGAAGTAGTAAGTATAAATAGTGTGGCTCAAAAAACAAGCAACTTGTGAGAGAATACAGAAGCTTCAAATTTAATGGAAGGTAAGGGGAGAATACAAATTTGCCACTACAACATTTTGTCATATTAACCAGGATTGCGTGAACATCAAGGTAGTCTAAATATAAACACGGCTCAAACCAACGGTTCATTTTATGAACTGATTTTGCATCTTAGATTCATTTAAAACGGTTTGACTGTCAAGTACAACAAAGAGTAGAAGTGAATAGTACTTGCCTGGACAGTTGCTCACCTTCCCAATATCATTCTGAATACGCACAATCAATTACGCAATAGTGAATTATCAAATAATTTCATATTACAGATTGATGAACTACACCTAAAGACTGGAAAAAAGGCAGTCCATGTCACGCATTTAGCAGAATTTACAAACGCCAATCAACAAAATCAACTATACGGAAACTTACACAATTGGAATGGAGTTTTTTAAAAAGATCAGGGTCTTAGACTTCAATAAAATCCAAAAACGTCTTTGTTAAGTTATGCCGGCAATAGGAAATGTCGTATTTACTATTAAACGACCTACTACGGAGAATCTATTATAAACGTACTAAGTTTTTATATCTACAAAACGTGTTCAATGGAACAGATCGTCATTCAAAATGTCTCCAAATTAATCTAGGTATTAAGTTGTGATTGGAAGCTGATACCATATCAAAGCAAACTTAGATTTTTAGACTGCATGTGATTTATTAAACAATTAGGACGGCTCAAACTCACCTACGTGAGGTCAAATGGAACAGAAACATTTCACGGGTACAAGAATGGATAAAGCATATGTACTCAAAATTCTGATGGTCAATTCAAAGGTATAATTGAAGAAGACACGGAATTATAAGGGTGTTAAAGGAACAGGGAGAAAAAAGTGAGCAACATGAGGAGACTAACGAATTTTAAGTTGGCTTTTGGGGTCCTTATTTGTTTGAAAAAAGGGTATAACTGTGACCATGAGGAACAAAATAACAAACGGCTTATTTTTCATATAAAATCATGTTACTTATTAGAAAAAACAATGCGGCTGTTCTATACCTGGAGATGGAAAAGGCAAAACTGACACCACGACCTTGACAATCAAATTTGATAACTCCCGGGTATTTCAGTCTTCAGTAATAAGGATAGTAGGTTGATGAACCTGTGTTAATCCTGACAGATTTCCTCCCACTGAAGGTCCAGCTTCTTCTTGAAAATGTTCACTGATGGTGCTGATACTACTTGTTCTGGTAGTGCGTTCCAGACATTGACTACTCGATGAGAAAAACGGGACCTCACTTTTAGTTTATTAGATCGCGGTTTCTGAACCTTCTTGCATAGGTGGGATATAAAATTCGAAACATCTCCTCGTCAAAGCATTTAAATGCTCGGCGAAGTGACCATAGAGCACGATAACCTTTGGAGGCAGCCGCATTGCAGTGCGTAGTAGTTTTCAAGTCGTGACTTATAGTTACTCCTAAGTCTTTATGTTATTGAACGTGTGGAAGAGATGTACCACTAATGGTATAATAGTAACCATTACTGTGCCCTACATGCATGAGCACGCTCTTCCTGGAATTAACTTCCAAGCCCCAACCATGAGCCCATCTGACTAATTCGTCTAAATCAGCTTGCAGATAACAACATCAATCTCACTTCTTATTGTTCTCCAGATTTTAATATCATCCGCAAACAATAATGTCAACGACTTAGGTAATAAAGGTAGTTCATTAACATACAGAAGGAAAAGTAAAGGGCCTAAGATGGTGCCTTGGGGTACACCACTTTTGACCGGTTTCCATTCGGATAGCGTTCCATTGAACCTCACTCTGTGTATGCGGTCACATAAGAAGCTTCCCATTTATGTTAGTTACGCTCCAATATCAGCGCGTATCATATTAAATCGTTATTTATCAGGTTTATGTTATCAATAACGTCGTATGTAATGATTAATAATACTGTTGCAAGTAATGTGTTTGGATTTCGCACTGTTCCTCAGGTTCAGCTTGTTGAAGATGCTTATAAAATCAATTTGTTAAGGAATACAAACGATTGCTTTGTACGCAAACGAATAATCCAAACCATTTTAGACTCACTGAGTCGTTAGATCCGGCAGTTTTTAAAGGATGTTCAGACGTATTGTTGTCCTTGTGATCATTATAAGGTCATGCTGTCTTAAAATGGGCTTACAACTGGTTTCACTATCTGGGTTTGAAGTGTTAATCAAGAAAATTCCTCGATGTTCTAATTTACTTGTAATGAAGGACATGACGTTCGTTTTGAATTTGATCAAATAACAGTTTTTCACTACACTTTCCATATCATGTACATTGCAATCTACGTCCTATCAATCACTAGATTCAGGAAGTATCTCTTCATTTTGTTTCAGGATGATACAACAAGTACCTTTGCTTAGATTCATAGGTATAGTGCATTTCTAAATCCTCTCCAGTGACTTTATGAAAGCCTGTAGTTGCCTACTTTTATGATGAAAACACGATTCGTATAATGGAAGCAGTTACCACTATGACCAATTGTATCAGAGATCGTTTTACAGTACCAGTTTGTTTATGTTGAAGATACGACTAGTATTATAATTTTACAACTAGCTACCAGTAACACCTTTGATGTACGAAGCGTTCCCCAACTGATCGCAATCAGAAGTCAGATGCGAAGAGGTAGGAAAGATATATTTGATCCGTTATCAATATATCGAGAAGCGTTTACTCTAAGCGGGCTAGTGAACGTAGGAGCAGTGTCCCACGCTGGGTCGAAATGTGATCTGGTACGGATGCATGACCGAAAGCCTTCAGTTAAACAAGTCCACTTAAACAACGTGGTCAGCATGAAATGTCGAACGCCTAGAAAGCTATTGATTTTGGGGAATTATTTACGGCTACAATGTGTACCAAAAAAGACGCTTTTCCGTTTCTTTGTGACCTTGTTTGAACTCCCATACACTCAGTATTCCCGGTTGTTAACTTTTTCACGTTCTCGGTATTATTTCGATACCACGAAATCGCCAACAAATGCATCTTACTACAATCTTCTATTGCTTTCTGATATTTGGTCTACAGAAGGATCTAACCTAGTAAGTGGCACGTAATTTCCTGTAGTTGTGATCATAGCCAACCGCGACTCAACGCCCACCACACGTCTAACACTAGTAGGACTGTTATGTAACCATACTTGGGTACCAATGGAATATAAAAGGTCTCCTCTGCTGTTAACTACTGTTTTTTTCGTGAATCTAAATTTATCATACAAACTCTCTGCCCACCATAGTATCAAGCGGCAGCATTGGAGTCCTTGAATTATCGAGGATAAAATGATTGAAATAGAAAGACTTGTGGCACTGGACTGACTTCAAAACGATGACTGTTATAGTGAATATAATATAGACAGTGATTTGTGTCGTATCAGTCCTGTCATCTATCCTCGTTAAAAAGTGAAGTATGAGAATTTTTTGGTATGTATATTTCATTTGCGAAAATGTATCACGGACAGAGTTGGACGGACAATAGTAACCTGCAACTTAGCCAAGATAGGTGAATCAAGAGTAGGTCAAAATTTTAACTGAAGTTGGGGATTCAGAGTTCATGTGATAAGCAGACGAATGACTATTGACCCAGTGCGCATCTTAGTCATGAAATGTTTCTAGACTTCAGTCCATCCGAATACACCAAGTTCTAGTGAAAAGTAGTGACCAGTGGAGTTCAACCACGTCTGTTGTGAGATAGGAACTCACTGAAGACAATTGATGAACGGTTGCTCAACTTTGTGGATTGGTTGAAGTTAGACATTAACACCATCGGATGCCGGCTCAGTGGTCGAGTGATTAAGCGCTCTCACGCGAGACTGATAGGTCTTGCGTTCGAGTCTCGCGAGGCGGGATCATGGATGCGCACTGCTGAGGAGTCCCACAATAGGATGAAACGGCCGTTCAGTGCTTCCAGGTTTTCCATGGTGGTCTAGCTTCAATTAACTCATGCTTTCAACTATGAAAAACGTTTATAGACGTTAACTTTTAAAGCGAAAATACTCATTTGGTTTGGTCTCGAGAAATTTGGTACTCTTGAATCTAAAGTACCTTTTCAAAAAGGTTCATAAGACCATTGTAAGAATGATATCCTGATATAACTAATAGTATTTAAAAAGATGACAAACTCGAGGAAAATTAATCAAAAGGGTCTCGGGGTAAAATAATTGTCTGTATTATAACCCTGAGATGTGAACAGCTAAGTCCTCAGTTCATCTGTTTTCGAAAAATGGAGCCCATTCTCACATGTATAAGTGGATTAACACACTTCTTGGCTAACTACTTCAGCTTTAAATCTTCCTCTGAACGTATAACCCGCAATATTGAATTGCGATTTACGCTTAATCAAAGCTGCTTAACCTTTGGTTCTAGCTATCATATTATTAAAAATAGGAAAATCTTGAGTAATTTATTTGTTTTCATTCGACAGTCAGCGAGTTTAACTGAGTTCGGTGAGTTTATCAGTAAGCTTTACATCAATAAGTGTACTGATGTGCTCTGTGATCAGTTGGACACCTAAGACTTTGTGCCACACATCTTTACTTCTCATTCTTAGCTCCTTTTTTAGTAAAATGTAAAGTTGTTATTTCATCATCGTATTCTCATGATAAATCACAGACAAATTAAAAATCTCAATCACTTTATGTCTATCCCTCTCATTTTAAGATAACTCGCATTCTTAGTAGCTTCACAACTCTTGGTTTCCAGTCTATTTTATTTCTGACACGGAAAACTATTGATGTCCTTCCAACTTCTCGACGACCTAGAAAACGATCACTGAAATGGCTGATCTAAAACATTGTTGATTGCAAGCCAAAATGAGTTCTTTCTTGTTTATTTCTCATCAGTTTACTGCTTCCACATATACTTTATTAGCCTGTCACTCATTGTGTTCCATTAAATGTGGGTATTATATTCCTTCACTGTCCTGCCTGCTTTAATCAGCACCGATCTATCGCTATTCTTTCCTAATGCTTGTTTGGGAACCGCTACTTAATATTTTGTAGTTTATGATATATCGAATTATTGATCATGGTTATTAATTTATAATTGCGCGGTATGGTTATGGCCTGATAATTATAGAAATAGAGTAGTATAACAGGACATGAAATGCAGGGCTTATAACAGGACATTATTTTGTCGGAAAATCCCTTTTAAAAGGCCTGTAGCGGTAAATAAATATCCGAGACCAATAGCTATGTAAGTCTTGGACATTTGATGCTGACCGTATTAGTTTTGATGGCGCTTGGTCACTCATCCGCACTAGATCACTAGTGAGTATGCCGTGCTCCACATTGCCTACGGCCTCTGGCTAGCTTAGATTGATCACTTCTTGATATATATCGATAGCCTATCAAATATTTTTTCGAACCTTTTCGCTTGTGGCTTCTGGTTTGACTGGGTTGGCACGTTTTAACCTAGAGGGACTGGATGGTCATTTCGTCTTATTATGAGGCCCCCAGCAATGCACATTACCGATCCTGCGGAGTTACGATAAGAGGCTTTGACCAATGGAGTTCATCCTTGCCGTATGTGAGGCAGTTTCCTACCAAAGACAATGGAAGGTGGTCGCTCAATATCGTGGATTGACTGAGATTAGACTTTAACATCTCTGGATGCGGACTCAGTGGTCAAGGGTTTAGCGTTCGCGCGCTAGAACAGGGGTCCTGGTTTCTACTCTCTTGTGATGATCAGTGGATGCACACCTTTGAGGAGTCCCATATTAGGACATAACTTTGTGCCATCTTATTATATTTCCTTATTATTTTGATGAGGCATACTTCTTTTCGACATTTTATTGTTCCTCACAATTTTTCTGAACTAAGCATTGGACATATTCCCTGTTTTCCGTGTATCTGACTTCAGTCTTACAAATAAAATGCTATCTAGTCATGGGGTTTCACCACTCTTGAATTATATGATGGCTTTGTTAGCTCCGGTTTACTACATTTAACCGCAAGTTTATTGATTATATTTCCTTCCATTGAGGTTTTTCCTGCAGTGGATACCTGGTCTTCTACATATTCCCACCTGTCAGCCCTTATTTTTTTCTCCACTTGCTCGTTTGCTTATGTATCTTCAGTCCGTGTC